ACGGCAACGGCAACGGCAACGAGAAAGTCGCTAAACAAAAGGTTTAATCAGCAGAACAATGGTTGTGCACGTCCTTTATAATTCTTGGTACATTTCTTTGCCGTCCTCTACAAAACAACAACGTGAAATGACCAAATTCTGCGTTGTCCAGAGAACGTGAACCTCGACGGCTAATTTTTTAATTTACATTTCAAATGTTTCGCCCCGCCCGACATCCAATTTCGTGATGGTTTTGACACTAAGAAACAAAGGAAAATGACTCTAGAGTATTGCGAGATTCGGAGGTAAAATATAATATCATTTTTTAATAGAGGTTGTCGTCGGCGTCGCGTCCTGATTTCTCAAACTCCCTATTGACAAAATTTCACGGCGGCCGGACTCCCCTAGAAGTTCGCCCTTTTGCCACTCGTGATAACGCCTATGGTGATAAATATTTATCCCTTTTTCCATCTTAAGGGTTAGAACCTCTGTATCAAGCAAACAATGAACAGGGTCCACTGGTTTCAGCATAGAGAAGATAGCACTTGTACCTGGCCGTGTTGTTCGCCAATCAGTGGCGTCACGTGGGCCGCTGAAGGAAAGGTATCCTGTCATGTAAACGTATTATAGAAACTCGCCATCACTGATAAACTGGACTGGAATGGTACAGGTACGAGTTTCCACAGGTACACACCCCCTAATGTTCACCGTCACGTGCTAGAGCCTAAGTACACAACAGACGCTGAAGAATGAAATGTTCCTCTCTTTGGATTGTTTACTCAGTCACCCTATCAACCATCTGGTTATTCAGTTGTATGCTATTTAAGCCAATTTACAATTAACTTTTCTATATATTATAAATGCTACTATTTGAAAACGCTACAAAAAATTGGATGTTTTTGGCTTTGAGGTAATCGGATTATGAGCATTATCCAGGCTCAGCCTCGATTTCGTGGCGAATCTGCAGGTGCTCCACATTTTCAATAACAAAGCTAGCGTGACATGAATATCGGTGGCAATTGTTTTGAGCACTTCGACAGCAGGTTATGAACAGACAGTTCATGAAATATCTAGAATCTGATTTTAGTGTCATCAAATAATTATCAAGCAACCTTTATTCTACTACCAACTTCCTTCAAAGACATAAAGTGATGGCAGACTGTCACAGTGAAGCCGAGATCCCTCTTAAACAGCTCGAGGTGGACGGCGAACCAAAGGTGCAGCCTTCGGGAAAACTGGCGGCATTTCACGCGTTTCCTGGATTGTTCTTGAACAAAACTAAGCTGATAGTTCTTGCTGTTTTGCTCTTGATTCTGCTAATTATAATAATTGTCCTGGCAGCAGTACTAGGTCACGAACGAGCGAAGGACAGGCGACAAATAACACGTAAGAAATATTGACTTTGTATTAGTTTATCATTGTGTTGAAATGTTATTCTCATGGTAAATCTTGAGGAGTTGAGCGACTGGCAATCAGCCTGATTAAGGTAAGGCCGGATTTTCACGTAAGTGTACACTGTCACTCAAACCACGGGTTTTCAACTAGTGACGAGTTTGAGCAGAGTTCCACTGTTCGGTATTTAATCATATGCCGATGTGAATAATAATTGCTATCAAAGTTATCGGGCGTAGATATTCATAAATTGTCAATGGTATGCTAGCTATTATATTCATTGAACAGGCTTTTCAATCAGAAGAAGGTTTCGGGTTTTGGTTTGTTTGTTTGTTTTTTTTTTTCTGTCGACGCAGAAGCCTTTTTGCAGTTAGCAATGAAGGACATCAAATTTCGTGGACTTAAAGCAGAGTTAATTTTTATGCAAATTTAGTGGAGTCAGACAGTGAATTCCACAATTATAAGCTTAAATAAACAACCCACACTATTTGCATAATTTTATTTACAAAGAGCTCGGAGTTGTCGCTTGTTAAAACAGTAAGCCCTGCAAAGACAACTGGTTATCGGCACATGTTTGAAAAAATGGCCAAAAAATATAGTAAAGAACAAGTGTATTCAGCAGCCGAAGTGGCAAGATTTCCGTATAACCCCATACATTTATTATGCATACAGCTCTTTGTTTAACTGACATCGGTGATAACATATTAAAACAATTAGAATTTCATGAAGACAAATATTTATAAACGGTAGTGTTTCATAGGGACGCAAAAACCAGTACTTCATAAACGTCCGTTTAACATTTCTTAAATTTCGAGTGACCCTGAAATCAGGCGAGAACTACGCTTTGTTCGGTGTTTGAGTTTGCTTTTCCTTTCCATCGCTCCATTTAGAAGTAAGGATTCTTTGAACTTAGTGAGCCCTTTCACTGCCTAGTGTTACAGTAAAAGTTCAAATCAGGCTTAATGCATTTCCCAATAAAGTTACAATTCTGCGTTTATATGCGTAAACAAATTTCTTTTCTCCCTGGGTTTTCTTACTCTTCAGTTCATTTGCCTTTTTATCTTCTTACTTGCTCATCTTTCCGATCTAATTTTCCTGTAACGATCGTCCAATTGAAAATTGATGGTGAATGAGCGATTAAAAGCAAACTTTTTGCAGTTACAGTGGAATCCCGAGTTTTCGAACCTCCAAGGGAAACGAAAATTAAATTAATTGGTTCGAGAAATCGGATAGTTCGAGAAATCGGGGGTAAAATTACAGTGTTCGACTGAGGAGAGGGTAACGACTGTTGGTTCCAGTTATCAGGAGGTTCGAAAAAATGAGGGTTCGAGAAATCAGGATTCTACTGTAATTTTTCTTTATCTATCACAACATAAACAACATTTGGTAGTTGACTGAAGGCACTTCTCCAAAGCGCTTAACCTTTCTTGGTTTCTTTCTTATAATCTTGTGACGCGCAAATTAATCAGTCAAATGCGTAGCGGTTTGCAATGCACGGTTACCACTACTGTTCCGATGCTTTTCAAACTCTCTTCCTTGTTTTCTTTTTTTTTCTGACTATTAATAAGCTATCACCAGTTTATTGGTTTTGTGCTAATCTTTTCACAATAATTTGTTAATCTACTGATGAATCCATAATTTTATATTTAGCTCCAATTGAAAAAGGAGAAAAAGAAGAAGTTGGTCCGACATCTTTTGGTCCTACTACACCCGGTCCAGAACCTTGGTGGAAAATTCGCCTTCCCAGAGATGTCAAACCATACCACTATGACCTCACTTTACACATCGACTTAAACAAGCCTCATTTTAAAGGAGCTGTGGCTACCTGGGTCGATGTGTTGAGTCCCACGCCCTATGTTCTACTTCATGCTGTTGACATGAATATTACCAAAGTTGAAGTCCGGAAAGTTTCAGGAGGTGAGTGGAAATCTCATAATGATTTACATCCAACAAATACAAACTTATTGGATTGTTATTTACAGTTATCAATAAAGTTAGATATTAGGGTGAGACCATCACTCGGCTAAGTATTGTACAGGAATTACGGAAATATACTATTCATCCACAATTTTCTTCTTTTTTCAGATTTATCGTAATAATATACATTACAGCATTTTAAGTAATATAGTTAATATTAAAATATATGAAGACCTTGATGTTGCATTACATTTATTTATGATTACCTGTTTATTTATGGTGTGTTACAATAAAGTGATTATATGAAATTAATAAATGGTTACAGTGAAGCCAAATGAAGTACTTTCGTTTCCGATGTATCTGTTACTGGTACAGACTATGGAATAGAAAGATAAAAAATTGATTGTTTATTTACCCATGTTTAAAATCATTTACAATATTAATTGTGACAAAAATAAGATAACTATTCGGGAGGGAAACTGAAAAAAACCCCGCGGGCTGCTATAACAACAAACAACAACGCAGCTGCAAAATAAATACAAAACGTAGCATTATTTAATTACCGGCTTAAAGTTTGCAATCGTAAAAGGACACATGTAATATCAAGAGTTTACACAGGTCAGCTAGATATCATAATATACTCATGGAATCACGTCAGCTTCACATAGCATATATTATAAGATTAAGACACTGAGGCTTCTAGTATGTGGTGTTCAATTCAGCCACAATACGAATTATTAATTAATTCATTAAGTTATTTATTTTATGTATTTTTTGTTTCCTGTTTAACGTAACCCTGGATCATCTTAATACTGCTTTGAACATACCGGTCCTGCGATTTAAACAACACGTTACTTTCCTCATATAGGAGTCCTGGAGATCAAGCGATACTTCATGTTCGAAAAGAACCAATTTTTTGTCATAGAAATGGAGTCGCCACTGGAAAAGGATCAATATGTCACAACACTGGAATTTTCAGGAGCATATGTAGATGATATGAGAGGAATGTACAAAGCGTCCTTCAAATACAAGAATGGCACAGAATCGTGAGTATCTAACAGTACTCAAAGACAACAGCATACTATCTTGCTTTTGTTTGTTCGAGTCAGACTGATTGATAGTAAAGTGTGCGTACGGGTCAAGTGGCCCACCAGGCTGGAGCTTATCCCGGTTTCAGTAGCATGAAGCGACTAGGAGTATTTCTACTCCCCCTGGATGGGATGCTAGTCCATCGCAGGGTTACCCCCCGCATTAGATTTGCCGGTACCCATTTATAGAGAGAGGCACTGTGAGAGTAAAGTGTCTTGCCCAAGAACACAACACAATGTCCCCGGCCAGGGCTCCAACCCGGACCGCTCGATCCGGAGTCGTGCGTACTAACCATGAGGCCACTACGACTCCCACAAAAAAAACTGATTGATACAAGGCTATTTATTGCTTCCCTGGTTTAGAAACGTTTCTTGGCCCCATTTGTCATTAATAATTTATCATTGAGTTGACCAGGTTTCATCCAGTATTTACTGTCTTTTGTCCCTTCTCTTATCCTTAATCATTTACAATGATTGTCTTCTTTTGGCAGACTTTTCTCGGCAACTCAATTTGAGCCGCTGAGGGCGCGCAAGGCATTTCCATGTTTCGATGAGCCTGCGATGAAAGCCACCTTTAATGTGACTCTCGTTCACGATCCGGGTCTAATTGCATTGTCCAACATGCCAATCTACCAGAGTGAAGTAAAGGATGGCTGGAAATACGACCGCTTTAACAAAACTGTCAAGATGTCAACATATCTAGCAGCGTTTGCTGTGGGTGACTTCAAGTATAAACAGACAAAGACGGACAATGGAATTCAGGTTTGGAACGTAAACGAGTTACGGCAACGACGGTTGAGTCCTTTTCAAATCTGTTGTTTGCAATCCTTATTAATGGCTTGCTCACTCGTAGCTACCTTTGTTTATTTTCGGTTTTATTAAAACTTAATTGGTTATTTTTTTGGCCGGCACTTTTTACATTTTACGTCGGAAAAAATGACTGAACATTCCATGACACTGCTCTTTCACGAGTATCGCGGCCAAAGTACTTTTTTGGTCTACTAATTGTTCCAACGTGATTTCCCATCGACAAAAAAAATGAAATTTACGTCACTCAGCTCACCCGTTATTACAAACAAATGTATGTAAGTCGTTACATATTAAAAAAAAATTCTTATATAGTTAAAACAAGGTATGGCTAGCATTTCAGGGCCATTACAATTACGTTGACTTTTAGCACTATTATACCTTAAAACTTTAGCGTCATTGCGTGAGGAATGAATTGGTATTTGAAACTTGCAGTTGTGTACGCGAGCTCATCAGTTCATTGGAACGTTGTGAGGTATTAAAATGGCAAGATGGTGAATTTTATTGAGTACTAAATTATCCAATAACGTTTTTAAATCTTCCTCCAAAATTTTGGAGGAAGGGGTAAATCGTCGTCGTTTTGTAGATGTCCTTCACTGCATGAGCTTCTGCACATATGGCTGATAGTGTTCAATAGCGCAGCCAATGAAATTGCAGCATTGCAATAGTTTACTATAAGTAGTAGAATACTACTTATGTCTGCTAATAACTGCTATTTCTGTCCATCTGTACATGTAGATCAGGATTTACTCTCGAGAGGAAGCTCTTGATCAGGTGGACTACGCTTTACTAGTGTCAAATGAGACCATGACGTATTTTGAAGAATTCTTTGGTGTTACCTACCCGTTACCAAAGTCAGGTAAATAGAAGATTTATGTATTTCTTTTATGTGTTAAATTAGGTTGTTTTGTATTATTTTCCACTGGGTTAATCAGGCCCATGTATACCACTCCTTGTGAATATCACATCACTTCAGTGACGCCGACCAGTTTACTCGAGCTATTTTTCCTTGTTATAAATGTCGTTGGGTAAAATAGCTTTCTTTTATTTTCTGCCTTCCAAGCTGTATTCAGCATGTCTCAGATTCTTGTGAAGAAACTCGACTTCTGGCGGTTCCCTTCAGTATTTGTTGTATTATTTGTCTCCTTCACTTAAAATAGAAATGTTTTCTATTCGGCCTTGCGAAGGAAAGAGAATAGAACTTAGCTTTTTGAATAACTTTGTGTGTAAAACACGTTTATGATATTGACGTAACAACTCTCTCCTGCAGATGGGATTGCTTTGCCAGCATTTGGACCTTCAGGTATGGAAAACTGGGGTCTCATCAAATATCGCGAAACAAAATTGTTGTTGAAGGAAGGAGAAACGTCGTCATCGTCCAAAGAAGGCATCGCAAAACTAGTCGCACACGAAGTAGGGCATCAGGTAAGTTTTGCTTTACAATCTTCGAATTCATGCGGTCATGCCTTAGCGTGTGAAGTTAGAACTTACATTCCCATGGGCGAGAACGAAAAGACAGTCTGAAGCCAACCGGCGCGCAATATCACAACACCTACAGTCATGCTCTGTTCACGTGCAACGACGGGCAACAACATCCCGAAAACAGTGCGCCTTTAACCTGTACGACACAATTTCAGCTGGCTCCTTGACAAGACAAGGCGAGGCAACGTCTATATGTACTGCAGTCAGTAAAATATATATATAAATTAATTCAAAATACACACAGTAGCTTGTCATCCAAAATCACTATAAAGCTTAACTAGTTGAGTTGGCTCATTGCAGTGTCGTACCTAGTTCACATTCAGACCTTTTTTTTGAAACGTCGTACCATAGTATTTTCCTTAACTTGCATTTTATTTTATTTTACTTCATATTTTTCAGTGGTTCGGTAACATCGTCACCATGGAATGGTGGACTGATCTTTGGCTAAATGAGGGTTTTGCAAGTTACGTCAGCGCTATTGGGATAGACCATATTCATCCTGACTGGAAAATTGTAAGTGCATGATTAGAAAATGCACCCGGGCATGTGAGAATAAGAATCAAATCATTATAACGGGATTCTTATAACTTATCACGAGTCAGTCAAATTCTTCCCAAATAGCACACGATCAGGCGGATCTCAGCCATCAAATGATATCACGGTGGGTCGACAGGATTTTAAGCCAAAATCAGTATTATTAGGTATACTTGAAGTACAAAATCAGAACTGTCTAGAGAACCTTGGACAGTTATACTGATTTTTTTTTCAGTTCTATGAAACAACATGCAAGTAAAAGTGCAATTTTTGTTTTCCATGAACAGCAAACAAAAATATTTTCTTGAATCAGCACTGCACTCAACCGCGTGATTTAGGGCCTCTTCATATGAGCCCGACAACCGGGCTGGCTCGGTTACCGGGACGAATTTTGTGGTCTGTTCATATGGGAAATTTCAGCCCAGTCGACCGGGATGAAATCCAAGAAACAAAACCAAAATGGTGCAACATAAACTTGTACCGTTCGCGGCTGTCGTAGCTTTGTGGACTCTTGCATCTTTACTAATAAAGCTAATTCGCGTGTTTTTGAAGTGGACATACTTACAAGACAAAAATTATGCCATTTTGGCCGCTATGTTCCGAAAGCGAAGCTATTTTGCCGAAAAGGTTTCCTCCCAGGCTGGAGTGTTCATATGGGAAAATTCTAATCCCGGTCACCGAGATCTCGGTCGCAAAAGCCGAGATCTCGGTAACCGGGCCAGCCCGGCCTCTAATATGAACACATCGAAATTTTTACGAAGTAAAGAGTGGCGAGGCGAGATCTAGGAAACCGAGCCAGTCCGGTTGACCGGGCTCATATGAAGAGACCCTATATTAATTACCATGTCTGACAAATTACTTCCTTCTATTTATAGATCGACCAGTTTATCGCTCGAGCAGTGCAAGACTCTTTGGAACTTGATGGATTAGCAAACTCTCATGCCGTCAGGATTCCTGTTGAGGATCCTAAAAGAATCGGAGAGATATTTGACGCCATTTCATACAAAAAGGTAAACGTACAGTGTATCGGAGTGTAGGAAACAACATGAATTATATCTGATATTTACGACAATAATCCAAATAAAACAGATATAGATTATAACATATCAAGTTTCTGGATTGGCACTTTGCGACTGAACAAAACAGATCTTTTGAATTTACCGTGTAAATTAGCACTGATATTGATGAGAACTCCCGCATCAACGTAACTCGTTTTACAGGCTTTGTGCAGTATTTCTACGCAATAATTTGTATTTTTAGGTGTCTCATCAGTATTCCAATCGTTAAGCAAATCTTGCGACTAATGTTTGAGTTATCCTTTATTGTCAGGGTGCGTCAATTCTATTGATGCTTCATTATGTTTTGGGGAACTCCATATTCCGCGACGGACTAAAGGTGCGTCTTTTACTCTTCACCCACAAGAAATGAACAATGACTTGAGCAACTTAGAATAAGATTATGTTGTGGAAATAATAACATAATGTTCTTTATCATTAGGGTGCTCTTCATTGTTGATAAGTTGCCGCCTCATTTTAACCGACCATAGTTCTCAGACTTATCTTAAAGTATATATATATATATATATATAATTACCTGACTTGCACCCTTCGTCTGGCTCTTTTACGTAGTATGGTCGCTCCAATATGATGCTCTCTTCATAAAAGCACTAAAAACTCGACGTCGAAATTTATTCAAGAACTGTGTTTGAAAAAATTCAAAGTGGAATGAAAATATTACAAGTTGCATTTTTTTTGCTTCAGAAATATATATCTTTAAACTTTGTAATACTGCTTAAACTTGGGACTTTTTCTTTGGTAGTAAAAAAAAGTAGAACGTAGCTATCATGAGCTACGGACCTGGAAGTTCTCAAAGTGGTGGTTGAAACTACAGTGGGAGCAAAAGTGGGCATTTTCTATATGGAAAAGGGAGTGCGTATTTTTTTTGCAGAAGCGAGGAGGCTGTCCCATGTTGTCCCGTCTAGATCTGTCATTGCAATAGTCAGTTGGATTTGACAACAACGTTTGTTCATTAATTTCTTTCTAGAGATATCTCACCAAACATGCCTACGGTAATGCTGAAACAAATGATCTTTGGGATGCAATGACGGAGGTGTGTTTTACTGTAACTGCCTTCAAGCTCTTTACTTTGTCTTTCTTTAGTATCTCAGTTTAGTATTGTTTGCAGCGAGACCCTCGATACCTAATGCTTTGAAGGGTATTACTTTATCAAGCCCTGGAAAAATTTCTACAAACCAAGAAGTGAGCTATTTTTCAGTAAAATAAATATACCTAGCTCTTGGAAAATCCCTTTTTAAAATATAGCTGCTGTATACGCTATTGTAGCTGAGTGTACACCGTAAAAAAAAAACTTTATTTAAGTGTCAAATGTAATTGACTGACACTGTAAATAAACAAACGAATGTTGCAAATAGAACACAAATTATTAAGGATGCCAACTGGTGGCTGACCAGTTGGTATTTACACAACGCGGTCGAGGAGTTGAACACAGGACTGCCGAGAACAAATCCGGATAGCGGTAGGGTGAAGGATTTGAACCAGGGACCTACATATTTCAAATCCAGCGCCCTAAACCACTCGGCCATGCCGCCTGTCTTGAAAATAATCGAATAATCTAATTGTTTTAGTATAAATCTATTAGTCGTTCAAAACTTTATCTAAGTCCTCTCCACAGACACTTCAAAAACGCCAAGAAGTGGCCGTCATTTTGTTAACAAGGGCACGCTACTACGCTACTCACTATATATCACAGATTAGTAGAAATCTACTAGCGTTCTATCACGAATGCCGTTCTCTGATTGGCTGCGCTACTCACTATCTATTCTGTGATAGATAGTGGGTAGCGTAGCAGAGTACCCTTGTTAACAAAAAGACGACCACTTCTTGGCGTTTTCGAAGTGTCTGTGAAGAGGATTTAGATCAAGTTTTGAAACAATTAGATTATTCGCTCTCGATTTCTATACGTGATAGAAATCTCGAGCTCATAATCTAATTGCCCAATAGAAACACCCGTGGAAGTTTGGGAGAATTCGAAAAGTTGTCGAAACACACAGCATATCATTTCTCGTTCTTCCAAACTTCCACTCGTGTTTCTATAACTCATTATAGTTTACCACTAAATTTTGTCCGATTCTTATTGGTTTAAATTGATCACGTGACGCGATAGTGTTAAGGCGGCGGAGAGACACTGTCAACCCTTAGTGCCCGTCAGAGGAAAATACCCGGATGGACGGATAGTACTCGTCTGTGAAACTTTTTTCTGTGGATAAGCGGGCTTATAGAAAAAAAAAAAATTGAAAGACGTAATTTGTCTGTTTTCTTTTTCAAATTTTGCATTTGGATTTCATGCCTTTCTTTTAAAAAAGTTGAAAATAATTCAATATTATTTTTGACCTGGCCCGCGGAAGAAAATTTAGTGGTGAACAATAAAGACAACAGAGTGTTGATGTGGGTGTGATAGTTGCCCCTTGGAAATTTGATCAAATTTCCGCGGGGCAGCCATCAGCCGATAGTTCTTAGACAGAAACACTCTATTATTAAAAAATTCGGTACATTTTTTCTATTACTTAAAGAGAACAAAGAGTACCACCTTCTATTTGGTAAATATAACATGAATGAGATGTTTAATCAATTTCTTTATCTAGTATTGATGCTGAACAAGCAGTTGCTGCTTTTGAAACCTCTTGTTAACGAAGCTCAGGCACGGTTTCTGCATATTGAAAAGTTTAGCCTCAATTTTTCAAATTCGTCGTTTGTAATCCGTGTTAATCTTCTCCATCCTTAGCCATCCTTGTTCCTTTATGGTTTATCGTTATCTCTTTGGTGTTTTTCTATCTTATTAAACTGTTATTTTCAGGTTTCCTACCATTTAAAGGTAATTTTGTATGTGGCCAAAGTGACTCAAAATACCGTGACTGAGCTCCTTTAAGCCGAGCTGCATCAGAGGCGTATGTTAAAAAAAATAACTGAATAATTAAAATGATAATAGCTCAGTGCATGGTTTGATCTTTGCCGTAGGCTAGTACAGCTGCTGGAAAACGAACAAACGTGCGAGACATAATGAACACATTCACACTGCAGATGGGATACCCTGTAGTTACCATAGCAGCGTCCGGTAAACCAAATACATATGAAGCAACTCAAGATCGCTTTTTGTATTACAAAGATCCAAGTGCAAACTATTCAACCTCCCCATATGAGTAAGACTGGATTGTAGTCCATTGTACTTTGACAAAATACAACATTTAAGATAACTTAGAGTCTCGAGTAAAACCTATTGCACGAGTTTGCAGCCCTCCATATATAGGACTATACTTGCTTTTCTTCTTTTTATTATCTAGTTAATACTTGAGATTATAATTGATAAACTGGAGACTGAAAAGCAGAAATTAAACCAGGTGAAAATTAAAAGAAAAACTGAACGCTTGAATACTTCAAAATTAATTCAACATACTGATTCACATTTGCCCAAAATTGAACGTTAACTTGTTCCCTTTTAATCCAAGACCCGGATAAATTTTCCTATTTATGTAACGAAACATTCTTTAGCAATTTCAAAGGATATTTAAGAACTGAACTGAGTCGTCATGTATTTAGTTTTTTGTTTCATCGCTTTTTTCGTCGTTTTTTTAATTTTTATTCCCTGTCAAACTGCCTGTGATAGCTTATTATAACTTGACATGATTTAGACGCCAATTTATTATCGCATTTTTTTGCAGTTACAAGTGGGTGATTCCATTTACCTATTACAAGGGAGATAAGAAGTCCGCCATTCCTCCAAGCGAGACTATACCCCTGATAATAGACGATAAATCAGGTAAAACATGAGTTTTGGATGTGTACACGATTGTGCATTTCATTGGGGCAACATAAGGTACATGACGCTCTTTTAAAAAAGACCTGATACTTTTCAGTGAATCTGACATCTTTTTTTTTTCGGTACTGCGTAGTAACTTCTTTAAACTTTCAAAGACAATTATTGGCCCGCCAACATATCACGCACCTCAGTATATTTGTGTTTAGAATTTACTTTCATATAACGATTGTTCACAGATATGTTATCAATTTCTCTTTATCGTTTTATAAACAACTTCTAGTCACTATACAATAATAAGTAGAATTCTGCAAATGCTGCAGTCTGATTTGCTGAGCTATCGTAGACTATTAGCCATTATTGTGCAGTTCCTATAGGTCGTCCACATAATGGCAACATTTTCTCGCTTCTCCAATGTTTCGGGAAAGATTTAGAGATTACTGGATTATTCAGCTCCCCAAGAATTGACTAAGGAAGGAAGTTGACCGTTATGTGACTTTTCAAACCTCAACATTTTTCATTGAACCGATGACAATTGACAGTTGCAAGTTTCAAACAACAAGTTAAAACTTCTTAAAATGTAGAGAAATAATTGGAAACTGCTATTTGAAAGAAATTTATTTAGAATTCTACTAACACCTCATAACAATCTCGAGCTCGTAATGGTCAATGATTTAATTAAAATAAGACTGGCCCTGCTGACTAAACATGAATGGTGAAGATGTTTAGTGTATGCATTATACTGAACTGTTGTCTATCAACCAGTACCTATCCAGTGATGTTGTTCTCATGTTTTTCATACAGGTCAATTAAACTGGGATGGAAATGGATGGATTAAAGGAAACGTGGGACAGACTGGGTTCTACCGAGTTAATTATGAGGAGAAGAACTGGGACGCCTTGGTCGAGCAGCTGCAGTATTACCACAAGGTGAAAAAGCTGTGACATTGATGAGTAGCAATGATATGATGGCGGTTTTACCTGAAACTACAAGATCAGGAATTTATCTTTCAATCATTCTCTAAATGATAAACCTTGTGAAATGATTAGCAAGTACGGCGTTCATGTAATGTCCCAAAAAGAAAGGATATCGTGACCACAAATGTAAGCCATTAATGATTTAGTAATTTATATGACTTTTGTGCTAAGAAGCCTTTTTTACCATTATAATTGTTCGTGTTAGTACCTCTCTCTGGAGAGCAAAGCTTAATAAAGATATTCTGTACTACTCCACTATACTAGTCAGTCGGTCAGGCAATCAGTGTGCCTATCTCTCTGTTGGTCAGTCAGTCAGTCAGTCAGTGAGTCAGTCAGCCAGTCAGTCAGTTAGTCAGCCAGTCAGTCAGATAACGCACCATTTAGTTGAACAGTTGTCGTTCAGGTGATTAATCACTCTATGATATTTTTACCCCTACCGAAAAAAATGTCAAAATAATTAAGGCCTGGCATGGATATTGCATTAATGAAACTCTTTTTGCAGGTTTTCAACGCCACAGACCGCGCTGGGCTCATAGATGACTCCTTCAACTTAGCAAGGTAATACCCAGCAATGTTAATCAGTTCCACGCAAAATTTCCTATGACATACTGCTAACATTATAATTGGGCGCTGATCGTACTTCTACATTACCCAGTATATTTTTTATTTTATTTTTAGTCATAATATTTATGAATCACTCTTTCTAGTTTGCTAATGTCATTATTTATGCAGAATTTTCCAGTCGAATGTTCAGCCTATTTCAAATTACCGACTTCCACAAAATATACTCACCTTATAGAGTAAAAAACTCTGTTAAACGGCTAGTTTGTTTTTATTTCTAAAGGAAAACCTGTCTCAAAGTTTAGGCCCGACAGGCTCTTAGCTAAACAATCTGTAACAATTAATGTCTACATTCAGTTTTTTTTTCTGTCTTCATTGAGCATAAAGTACAAGGTTAATAGAATGAATTGACATTGTTCCTTCGAATAAATATGAAAATACATATTCGCCTTTTAGAGCCAACCTACTGAATCACACGAAACCGCTGAGTATATCAAGTTATCTGACCAAAGAAGAAGACTATGTTCCCATGTTATCGGCAATGAGGAAATTTTCAAAAATACTGGAAATTCTGCCTTCCACAAGACCAACTTACAAATATGTACAGGTAATAATAGGTGTCAGATATCTACCAGATGTGTAACGCTTTCGATTGGTGTTCAGCGGTGAAATATCACAGGAGTAATTTGATTTCTCAGTATTAAAGGGGAGTGTGTACGTGATATATCAAACACGGGTGACCGTGTTTGACCACATTTCGCAACACCAAGAAAAGAGTTGAAAAATCGACGCGCACAGGAGTTTTTGACGAAACTTCGAGATGTTTGGAAATGGGGTCAAGCTCTGATTGTTTGATATGTCTTCTTAGTGGAATTTAAAACTAGGGAGAAACGGAGAAATGAAATCCTAAAAATCTATGCTAATAAACATCAGATATCCAAAAACCGTTACAGTTAGGATTCCCCGTGTTTCGAAGCTGATGGATTATTAGTATTTTAGTAGTAGTAAATGAACTTGCATGCGTGCAATATAAACACAGGGGCGTATACAGGATTGTTCAAGGAGAGGTGTGTGTGGGGGAGGGGGGAGGGTGGCTAGTACCTTGGGATTGCAGAGTCAATGGGGCATGCCCAAAAAATGCTTCAATTTGAGAATTGGAACCTAATTGAAAACTGTTACACCAGAAATACAAGCAATGCCAAAACTATTTAAGTGAGAAAAAAATTTATTTGTTTTTGCAGTGACGAACCTGTGCAAAGTGTTTGCCTTTATTTCTGTCATGATAATATACACAATCGTTTTAATTTTTTTTTCCAGTTTTTTGCTTTTCTAAAAGAGGGGTGACTAGCCACCCAATCCATTCTTGTAATTTTTTCCCTGAAACTCTGTCTTGATTGCTACATGAAGGTTTATGTACTGCTTTCATTATATTCTTTTACCAGAGATACGTGGCATATTTAACAAAACCTCAGTACGACAAACTTGGGTTGAAAGACCAAGGAACCCTTTTGGAAAAGTATGTGGTCTTGTTGTTTCGCTCGTCTATTATTTTTTCACTTAATCTTTAATCTTTGATCTTTAATCATTATTTATACACGGTAAAAAAAAATCATCAGGTACAATAAATTCCAATAAAATGTCTAAGATCCTAATCCCAATATTATTTTAACTTACAACAGTATTCTACTTATAAACCTGATTTCCTTGAATGCCGTGTGTTTAAAAATTATGATGGAGAAAGCTTTTAAATTGATTTAATGAACCAAACTCTCTAATGTTGCAGGGTAAGCTGTTCCAAAGGGTTGCGCCGCCGTAACTAACACTATTTTTCATGTAGTTAATTCTCCGCGGAAAGGGAACAACAAGTTTGTTAACCGAGTCCCTCAGCCAAGCATAATTTGATGCATTTCACGTTACCAAATTTTGTTACCACAAGTTATTACTCGTGCAGCGCGGTTTTGTACTTTTTGTAACTTGTTAGATAATGTTTTGCCACAGTTACCCCAGACTAGGTTGCAGAAATCAAAGTGAGGTTGAACTAGTGAATTGTGTATGCAGAGTAGTGTAGACTGAGGCACAAATGGCTTAACTCGCTTTATGGCTCCAATTGCAGAAGCGATCTTTTTACACAGTTTATCAATGTGGGAATGCCACGTTGGATTTTCATTGATATATACTCCAAGTGATTTCACAGAGGAAACTTGTACAATCGGAACATTATCAATGGAGAGTTCGAATGGAACTATTACATTGAAAATGGTATTAAACCTGGGACGATATGCGAAAAAAAAAAAAAACAATATACGCTACGTTTGTTTCAATAACTTGAATTAATTATCGATTACGTGACTTGGAAGTTGCACAAACCTTTCTATGCCTCTTTTCAGATTTCAAAGAACTCTTTTAATTGACGCTAATTGTGCGGCTGGTGTTCAGTCATGTCTGGGAAATATGACACAAATGTTTCGACAGTGGATGGAAGAAAATAAGTCGTAAGTAGAACTAATCTAACTGATTATAGATGTCGGCAGGAAAGCACGTGATCATAAGAACACTTGTAGATCCGTGAAGTGTTCCTAACTCGCTCGCACGTTTTCCTGCGCTTCGCGTCAGCTACAAGTATTTACGTCGGGATTTGATTGGTTCATAGGATGGTCTGTGTCCTTCGTGATTGGCCACTTCATTTGGTTTTACTTCTGATTGGATGACAGAGTGGCGCGAGTTTTTTAAGCCAAATCGCTAAGCGTGGCAATGCAAAACTGAAACAAATGCAAATTTCTTTCGACACTCAAATAAAAACCGCTTTAACGTGGTTACTAAAAAAACATAACCTGTATGTTTTCTCTGTTGCAGAGTACCACCAGATCTAAAGTCTTCGGTTTATCATTTTGGAATAGTAACAGGTGGTGAGAAGGAGTGGGACTTTGCCTACAATCAATTTAAGAGTACTGATGTCGTATCAGATAAGCTTATACTTCTCCAAGCTATGGCAGGGTCTCAGGAACCGTGGATCATAGAAAGGCAAGAGGCGGTCATTTTGCGTGTGATATTGATTGACAGTTTTCTTGAGCAAACCAGCTGATCTCTTTAGATCTCTGGCCAATTCCGGTCTCATTTTTTGTGCATATACAAGCCTAATTAATAGGGAGAAGATGAGTGTTTTACAGTCGAGGGTTTATCAATAGACTGCGAGAAATTAGCGACAGATTGAATTTAAAGCGCCCAACAGCAGGATTTTGCGCCCCAAAAACCTCAATCTTGCTTGATAAGTAGCAGCTCACGTTTTCATTTTGATCCGGAGCAAGGGGTTTTTTGTAACACTGAAGTCAGCAGCCAATTAGGTAACATGACTCGACCATGACATTACAGATAAAAACACAAAACAACATAGTAAATATCAGAAATAACGTAATTTAACTAACATACCATGAAAACCCGCCGTATGTCGCGTATTCCAAGCGATGTTTACAATGTCAGGACGGAAACATTGATTTTGATTGGCTGAAAAGCGTGCTTAGGTGTCCTGGAACGATAACGTTTCTAACAAATCGCGTACAGCAAACTGAATCAGAGAATGTGTTATATTAGCTACAGACACAAGCTATATAAATATCAAGAAGAGTCGGCAAGATTATCGTAAATTGGCTCCAAAAAAGCATAAGCACTTTTGATCGGGGGAAAAGCGTGCTTAAACACCAAAGCGCTCACTGAGAATTTCAATTTTGCGACCTTGCATTGTAGAAAAATGCCATGGTCCGTGTTGTCATTTTTTCAAACGACCTTGCTCTATTTTTTATATATTTTTTTTCTATTTCCCTTTCACTTAATGTTAATTTTTTTAATTACAGGTACTTGGAATACGCCTTGGATCCTTCAAAAATCGGGCCTAGCTACCTTTCTTATGTCATGCATTACATTACTGACACTAATGAGCTCGGAGCAAACGTGGCGTGGAATTTCTTTCAGTTAAAATGGGAAAAGATATCAAAAGTGTAAGTACTACACCTGCATGCAATATATTGACCATGTATCGATAAAATAGGCGTGCAAACAATAACAAATCTTTAAGGGTGGTAAATGCTATGGGTTTATTCTCTCGGATGGTTTGCCTTAATCAGCCATGAATAAATGTTCAGTGCAATGGTTGAGATGATTTGAACGAATGTTTATATTGATTTAGTGTGAGTTCTGTTTTGGAGAATGGCTCTTTTCACGGTTAATTTTTCTCATTTTCATCACAATGTAATCCAACGTGGATGAGAGGCAATTTCGGGCAGAATTGCTCCAAAATTGCCTCATACATGCTGAATGATAATGTAGTTATTCTCTATCACGGACTGGACAAGCTCGGGTTCAATAATACATTATTTAAATTGGGTCATTTTAAAGTATATATACTGATCAATACACACCGCTATCCACCCTCGCCAGACACTTGCGCCAGAATTAAGTATTTATTCTTGTTTTTCAGATATCTTTCGTGAAATTGATACACCAAACGACAAGAGATTTCTATCTGACAACAAACCGTTTTTTAGCTGTCTCGGCTGCATTGCAAAATTCAAACTACTTTGACCAATCCATCCGGTCTTGGAGACCCAGGAGCAGTTAGTGGGGACGGGTAAAAGTCTAAAGTTTAACGAGCGAAAAAACAAAATTCGGACGAAGAAAAGTCAAGAACGAGAGACTTTTCTTCGCCCATATTTATATTCTCGCCAGTTTAGAGTTTTCCCCGCCCCGATAACTGCCCCTGAGTCTCCGAGGACGGGACCAATCAGAGTTCTCCTTTTTACCTTCAGCCAGTTTCCCGTGCAAGAAATGTTGATTCATTTCCCATTATAGTAATATAGATTTTCTTTATCATTATTATCAGATATGGTGGTCCTTACAACGCTTTACGTCGCCTTATTTCTTATGTATCCAGAAGATTCTCTACAGAATTTGAGCTACAACAGGTGAAAAAAAAAAAATTTAAATTAAGCCCAATTAATATCACTTTTGTCTGAAGGAAAAATTTGACAATAAAAGTAAGCAAGGAATCGCAATGGACGGGATTTGTAATGTGCGAATGTTATATCTGGGATAATCCGGTAAACATGAACATTATGAATGAACCTTTTTGCTGTTCCTTTATCTGCACCAAGTGATATTGAAGCGTTAACGTTTAAAACCGATGTGAATCTTAAACAAAAAATGAGGTATCACGTTGGCTTGCTTCACCAGGAATGGGGTTAGACATCTACAGTCGTCGCGCTAATAATATAATTGGCATTATTGAAAACTAGATCATTGGATAAATCGCTATGGCTTTCCAGCGGATAAGTGTTGACAAAACAAACCACGCTGATTTATCCGGTGGATAGCGATATCCACCTTTCGAGCAATCTTGGCCTGGAGTTTAGAGTAAAGTTATATGTCAAGGAGAAGCCAAAGTAACTTGCGGTTAGAGGGACAGCGGGCGACAATTGCTTAACAATTAGATTTAGCCATTGCCACCTGGCCATATATCAGCCAATGGGAGCGCGCGTTAACTTCAACTTAACTCCAGTTGTTAATAAGGGAAATAACCCAACATTTTGTTTCGTTCTTGCAGCTCCTTAATTTTGTGAACAGCGTGAATAAAGATGGACCCACGCCATGGAGTGTTAGCCTCTCAATTGAATCAGTCAAAATAAACATACAATGGAGGAAAACCAACGAAAAAGACGTGGAAAATTGGTTGAGGAATTTCTTTTCTAAGGCGGGGAAAAATACTGACGATGGATTTAGTGAGCCAGCATAGTAACCGAAGGACGGGAAGGACTGGGCACTTTTTTTGTAGTATGAATATAAAAATTACCACGCCACATTTGTTCCTATCAGCTTGTGTAAATTCTACACGCTTTGTAAGAGTTGTTACGCTAACAAATAAGTGTAATGTTCTCTAAATTTATTCTTCTTTCTTTTAGTATACAATATGGACGCATCACAAATTGCGGGTCGTCGACAAAATGGTCGAGTTCAATTTCAGACTTGAACTGAATTGAATTGGAGACTATGATTTAACCATGACAAAACTAACAGGATCGAGGAATTTAAGAAATAACAGTACAGGGTTAAGCCATGCGTCATATAGGATTGCCAGGATTACATTGTGTTGGTTAAATCTAAAACCTCCTTTATGTATGACTTAATAAATTTGCCCTTTCCGATACTTGTAGGCCGAACTATCTATCGTTTTAGTTGTGTAGGTATAGATGCTTTCATCCACAACATTTGTTGAAAAGTTGTGTTGTCTTCAGATCAAAATGATACTGGGGATAAGTAGGAATTTGCTTAGAGCACTGACGTCATAGCTGACTGTTATTGGAATAAAATTTACAGTGTACTTTTAAAATAAGACCTGAAAGTGATTCACTCTGTTCGATTCCGTTCAAGCCCATCGTGCGCGCTTGCAAACTGGTCAAAAACAACCAGCAGCCATAAACCAGCCCTTCCGCCGTAGTGGCAGCCGTGCATTCAGTTCTCATGTAACGTCTGGCACGAGCATCTTACAGAAAGAGGTCCCGTAACTTTACCAGTACGTCGTCTTGCGTTGTCAAAAGACTTCTCTGCAACTCAGGGTTAGGTTCAATGTCATAGTTAGATGGAGGTTGATGGTTTCTTGCAGAACTCGTGATCAATTGAACGCAGTATTCTCCGTAACAATAATAATCCCCATGTCCTGCTGCTCAGTCATTCGAAGACTGTTCATTATTCAAGATTTGTCTCGGCGTGCAAATTATTCAAGGTCTAGTTATTTGTACTATGGACTAGTTTGGAGACGTTCAGCTAATAAGAAAAAAAATTCTTGTTTCAAGCAAGTGCCCTTCTCAGTATTACGTCGGTTATGTTTTGGGCATTTCTAAACAAGTATATTGTCCTATATCCTTCGCATGACCAGTCAGTTGCGTGACTAGAACTTCGCAATATTCAAGAATGACCAGTCTAATAAAAGCATCGCAAATCGCGTGCATGCGTATTATTATAAATGATCGCGAAAGCCAAATTATTTTCAAGCTGTAGTTTACAAGTATGCTCCATTTGAACCCGTTTCATATCAGTGTTACTTATAAATCTGATAAATGACACGAGAAACTGAAAGATAGGTGAAATCTGCGTCACGGAAGCCGCGTAAATTTTTCATCAACAAACTTCACTTGAATCTTTTTCGTGGGATTGAAACGTGATTCAACTGAAAAAAAAAAATGCTGAATTAATGATAATCTTACTAGTAGAAACCTAGTCTATCGTTTATATTTCTGAGAAACGTTGTTTTCTCTTCGAAAATCGTATTGTTTCTGTCGACCTAGTTTGCATGCAAATCATGTGATTTCCGAGAAAGCACTCTCGTCTTCTCTACGTCTTCCAGGAATTGACTCTAATTGCTTTGAGTCTGCGCAGTATCGTGAACACTTTGAATGTGCTTAACTTGCAACTTCGGTATATATTTAAAGTATTTTCGCTTGAATTCTACGGTTACACTGAAACAAACAGGACGAACGTCGTGATCGCTCATGTATATTGCACCTTGTTTGAGAATGTTTTAAACTCTCTCTTGTCAAACTGGGTGTATGTATTAGCATGGCGAATCGTCGAACTCAAGGCCCGAAGCAAAAATTTCCGTCTAAACCGAAAGACATTGTACTGAACGTAAACATCTGGGAAGATCGCATTCCAACAAGCAGTAATCAAGGAAGTCACAGTAGCCTTGAAGAGGTCGAAAATTATTTCCGAGCTAATAATTTTCAAGTGGAGAAAGCCCATCAACCGGTAACGGACTCTAGAAATAATGCTAGAAACATAAACATCAAGTTGAAGACGAGAGATCACGGCTACTTGGGAAAGTTTTTCGAGCATCTTCGGCGACAGTGGTGTTCCTCTATCTGTCGTCGTGGAGATCCATTCTGGTTGGAATCTGGTGAATCCGCCAAAAACACTTTCAAATACAAATCGGACGGGACAAGACAAGTGCTGCAAGCTACTTCCTTTAGCTTTGGAAGTTTCTTCGATCGCGGAACCTACATACGACATTGGTCTAGTGATGAAAATGCACCCGACATTGAAGGTGGAAATATTCAAAGCGAGTTTGAGCACGATACGAAAACTCTGGCGATCACATTTTTCAAAGCAGGCTTTCCGGAAGGAAACAAGGAAGTTCGCATTGAAATGGAATACAGGCAACTCGAGAATTACGTTGTCATAGATGAAAACTTGCACCAGGGAACAATCCACTTTTATTTCCCACTTCAGTGGCCGCCAAAAGTATCTGAAGGTAATTGAATAGCATCATATATATCGCATATTAACTCGTAAATTATATAGCTATAGCTGCCTAGCAGATTACGAAAAAGGGAAAAATTTCACAGTTTAGCTGGAGCTTTTTTCAGCTGATGTATTTTCCAGCCACCTTCAACTCTAAGGGGTACTTCATGCGTGTTAATTTAAGACACCTTTCTCGTGAATTCAATATTATATGGCGAAGTTCTATCAGCATAAAAGTCAACAGTGATTCACGTAAACCCTGGCATGCCTAGATCTAAAGAAGTCTTAAGTCTCAACTTCTTCCTTCACAGGAAACCAAGTTATTATCCTCTATCCATTGCTAAGACTGCTAACATGATCCTTCTAGTGTCCGGGTTATGTTGTCCGCTTGAAACGGCTCGTTTTAGATAACTCGAATACCTGGCTGGGACAGCTTTAGTGGGGCTAAAACACGCGGAATGTGAATAAAATGTCGAATAAATATAATAACTTTGGTACAAAAGCATCCTACTTACCAAAACTTTTTCGATTTTCCCTTGGAAGTAAATAATTTGCGAGTAATGGGCCGGTTTTTGGGAGAGAATTTTTGATATTAGTTTCGCCGCTACTGTCTCCTTGAGCGGGATTATTTATAGTTGATTTTGAGAGTTTTATTCCCTAGTTGTGACGCCAGAGTTGTCCTCGAAATTGAGCGACCCTATCCTAAAGTTCTGCTTATAAGTCTGGGCTATCTTTGGCCTTTAGATCCAAGATAACTAGTAGCCCTACCTCCATGAAAACAGGGCCCTTAGGCCTGGCCCAAACGTCGTGCTGCTGCCGTACCGAACTCATATGAATTTGGCTCGGCAGTGGCATTGAAAAGAACGGTAGTGGTGTCAAACATCGAATTTGATTTAGTCGCGTCGAAGGTTCGGAAGAAGTTTGCTTTGCTGAAGACTATTTCAAATGCTAGAAAGCAACGGCAGCTGATGCAGAAGGCTATGAATTCAATTCGGCACGGCAAGAACACACAGTTTGAAACCAAGTTGCGCTACTGCCGTGCGGCACGGCAAGGTCTGCCGTGCTAAATAGTCGTGCCGAACTTGATTCAGCCTGTCGACCTGAATGGTTTCAATCGCCGTGCTACTACCACGCTTAAGTCGAATTTAATTCTTGAATTTAATTTGGCAAAGCAGTAGGACGACGCTTGGAATAGGCCTTAGTCTACAAGACTAGAACAACCGGGACGTTGTAGTGACGTTTCTTGTTACGTTACTCTCTTTCATCACCAGAGGTAACCGTCAGCGACTACACAAACTTTGATCGTCTCACCAAGTTCCTTGGTTGTAGTCGAGAGGTTCTTGGATCCAGTTCAGTGTTGTGTTTGAGCTTTCCACTGAATCAGGGATTTGACAGAGACGAGGAAGACTCAGCGCTTGGGCTAATGGCCGGCCTTTCGCTGAAAGGTAATCTTTGGTTGATGTTAAAACAATGACGATTCCTTGGTGCTTGGTACACTAAACACAGGCACTCTGCACAGTTTTAAGCGAAATGAGGCATACGCATTTGACTATGAGCGAATTGTAGCTAGCTCTTTCTTTACAGATTAATCTATCTTCATCACATAGTTTAAGTCAAGCAGCCCTCCTTTCCCAGAATGGAAGGAAATAATAAGGGATCTGAAATTTAGGTAACTCATCCATTCGTTGTGAACGCAATAGCAGGGTAACTTGAGTGAGTCGTCACCTCTCTGCTTAATTGTACGTTTAATATAAAAAAACAATAAAGAGAAGTTACAAAATATATAGAGCGGTTTTCAATTGAGTGTCGTAAAACCAAAACCAAAACCAATTACTTACCAATTAGACTTCTCAGCTAATCTCAAACTGTATTAAAACCAAAACCAAAACCAAAGTAATTGTCTAATTACTTTCGACACTCAACTGAAAACTGCTCTATATACGTCAAGTTTTATTTCGTCAGATGATTGTATTTTACGTAATCATACCGGACTTTTTGAGGACTTTTAATTTCCAAGAATTATAAGAATATAATGTCTTTAACTCATGCTTGGAAACGGTTCTCTCATTGCCTTTATCTCTTTCCCTTGAGTACTGCTTTGCCTGGAGTGGAAAAAAGGTTTTCACGAAGGGTTACACTGTAGCTTCCAGGCCGGTAGCTCTCGCCTTGCTTTAAATTCCAGCTGAATCAGTACAAATAAAGTTGTTGTTGTTGTTGTCGTTGAAATTACCAGAAAAGTGCATCAGTAGTGGAAAATTCTAATCTGACATTTTAGCTTAATGAATTATCTATTTCACGTGTGTTTTATATTTGCCAGGCTTTTCTATCTTCTTCGCCGCCATGAAGACAAAATCTCCTCGAGGGCCTACAGAGATTCCAAGGAAACCTGCGTTATCTGACCACAAGATCATGTATGCGTTGGAATGCTTGTTGTCTCGTGGCTTCAAAATACGTGATCGTATTTCCAGAAAGTTTTATGACTTGTTACGAAAGGCGACGGACAGGTACGAGTCACTCCTTGAAAATAATCTTGTATCACCCGAGAAGGTTAGCAGAGCTTTGTACAGATTGGTGAGTTATGCAGAGTCTGACCGTTTTTGTCCACTAGAGTATTATCTTGAAAGCCTGTTGTATGGAGACATGAAGCATTTGACGGCATTTGAATTCGAACTGCCAAAGCATTATGTTTACGTACCTCGGCTTATCGTAACTCCAACCCAGAATTACCTTCTGCCTGCGGAACTGGTAGCGGAGAATCGAGTAATCAGAGAGTATGGCCACGAGGAGGCAATGCGAATTGCATTCAGGGATGAGGACTTTTCCAAGCTCGCTTCAACGTACCCAGAGGGCCTTAGATACGTGTTGAAAGAACGCGTGTTCGACCTACTATCAAACAACATAGAGATCGCGGGGCGAACCTTTGAGTTCCTGGCTTGCTCCAATAGTCAGTTACGTGATCATGGCGCATGGCTTTACGCGACAGACGGCCAGCACCAAGCCGCTGACATAAGAGGATCGCTGGGACAGTTGAATGAGATCAAATGCGTAGCAACCTATGTTTCTCGTATGGGTCAGTGCTTTTCATCCACAAAGGAAGCAGTTACAGTCAGTATTGAAGTGGGATGCACAGTGGAAGAAATTCCAGATGTAGAAGTAGGATACAGTAACGTGTATTTCAAATGCTGCAACAATTTGAGATCAGGGACATACACCTTCAGCGATGGAGTAGGAAAAATCAGCAGGGCTTTGGCTAGGAAAGTATGTAACGACAATTATTATATAAACACCAGTGAAATACAAGGAGTTTTCCTTTTACTAAAAAATCATATCTTCATCGCGCGCACTGAAGATACTATTTTTATCTTTCACACTGTGAAGATATCATTCCTTTTTGATAACATTTTTCTTTCGTCCCTTTTAATATCTACACTTAAATTTGTTGATGTGTGATCGAAACATCTGCGGATCTTCTTCGGTCGTCTTCGGCAAATTCGGCAATCTTCGGTAATGTTCGGAAAATGTTCGGAAAATGTTCGGACGCGTTCGTCTGGCCATCGGAACAATTTTGGAAAATCTTCGGAAATCGTCAAAAACGTCGTCATTAGTATGTTTACATAATAAACAGAAATTACGTGTCCGCTTGTGGAAGCGAATTTTATCTTCTCGTGTTCAACTCAATATCTCACTCGTTCGTTGTGCTAACTCGTGAGATATCGCGTTGAACACTCGAAGATAAAATTCGTATCCACGCGCGGGCATGTAATATCCTCTATTTGTAACGAAAGATTCCACAATACGAAAGATATCTCTTGATATTTGTTATCTTCTGTTTAACGCTATCAACATACAATTAATGATAGTTGTCGCACTCTAAAGTTTTCTCTTTTATATAATTCAGGTTGCAGATAGCCTCGATCTTGATCCAATTCCCTCAGCCTATCAGATTCGTTTCGGTGGTTGCAAGGGGATGTTGGCAATTGACCCCAGACTTCCGCAAGGAGAGGACCAGGAAATTCTGCAGTTCCGAAAGAGCATGAATAAATTCCCGTCATCCCACTCCGCTCTAGAGATCTGTGAGGCAACTAAGCCAAGTAAGTTGTTGAGATCAGTTACTCTTCTGAATTTCAAACATCCAACGGTAATATCCAAATCAAAAGTTATGAAGATACATTGTTTACTAACGTCCTGAAATGATACTTTACATTGAATAAAGTTTCTTTTAATTCAACGATCAAGTGTATTATCAAGGAAAATTTTAATAAAAACGTTGGCAACAATGTGGAATGTGCAGGACAAATATTCATGAGCCTTGGTCTTTCAGGCAAGTTTTGCGTCTGCAGCAAATGTTGCATGGACATGTAAACAGGACTTTATTAAAGACATCAATATTTTTTTTGAAAAAGAGAGATGTTATTTCAATATGTCAAAATGTTTCCGACATTACTTATTCCAGCAAGTAATGGCCTAGCATGCCATTATTACTTCCGTTGCTTAGTGGATAGAGTGCCCATCCTATGTTTGAGAGCTAATGGGTTTGCTTTGGCACTCATTTCACTTGAGCTAAAAAAAATTACTATCTTTCTTTATTTATCACCGGTATTGATAGAAATTTCCACAGCAAAGCGTTCTTGTTTGCCATGTCCTAGCTTCTGATCTCTAAGATATTTTTTTCATCCGTCACAAAGCCTCACGTCACCACGACTTTCGCGTTTTGAATAAAATTTGGATAAGATCGTTAGCATGTTTTGATTTCATTTTGTTTTATTTTAGATCTTTTGTACCTTAATCGTCAGTGCATCATTCTCTTGAATGGGCTCGGAGTTCCTGACGAGTCATTTATCAGTCTGCAAGATAACATGCTTCGTAGCCTCGCCTTGATGCTGCTCTTTGAAACAGTAGCGCTGGATACTCTTCGTCACGCAAATATCCCCGGTGGATTGAAAATAACAGCTTTGTCACGCAGTGGTGTCAATTTCACTCGAGAACCGTTCTTCCGTTCACTGCTCACGGCAATCTATAAGAGCCGGTTGGGCGACTTATTACGGAGAGCCAGAATTGCTATCCCAGAAACCCATGGCCGCCTACTGATGGGAGTCATAGACGAGACAGGTTCTCTGGAATACGGGCAGGTTTTTGTTCGTTACTCCAAGTTGGTGAATGAACCAGGAAAAGATATGATAACACTCAAAGGCAGAGTGGTAATCAGCAAGAACCCTTGTTTTCACCCAGGTTAGTCTTACATCTCCACAGAACAAAGGTCAATAGAAAGCAACAAGCCAACGTAAACTAAAATTGTTTTGTGCCCGATTTCTTCAACTAAATATAACATCGCATGTAACAGTTGCAATATGCAAAATAGCTTTAAGAGGAAACATGGAGTTCAACATGACTAAACCAGAGCTCTACACGCAGTTTACAAATAGTTGAGGGTGGGCTTACTTGTTTCAGCCTTGTCAGCATGGCATTGCAAATAGAAAGTTTACTTGGAAACATAGACTGAAACAAAACATAGACCTCTTCAATTCCAGGTGTCGATGAAAAAGTGACTAAATTAAACGGAAACTTCTCTTTCTCAGACGCATTGCTTTTCCTTTTTGTGGCCTAAACTACAATTGTACACCGTCCTACATTTAGCGTTTGCTTTATCGTTTCTGCTAGGTGACATGCGCACATTTGAAGCCGTTGAGGTTCGAGTTCTGCACCACTTGGTTGATTGCATTGTGTTTCCCGCCAAAGGTCCCAGGCCTCACACTGACGAAATGTCTGGCTCAGATCTCGATGGAGACAAATATTTCGTCACGTGGTATGACAAGCTGCTCCCACCAAAAGAAAATGTAGACCCGATGGATTTCACATCACCAGAAAAAATAGTTTTGCCAAGACCTGTAGAAGTATCCGACATGATTCAGTTTGTGGCAGATTACATCAAAAATGATCAACTTGGAATCATTGCAAATGCTCATCTTGTACATGCAGACCATGACGATGAAGGTACGTAAGCAATATAAATCCTTATTTAAGTACTTAATAGCTTATATCTGAATGAAGAATTCAAGCAGTGTTTCGTGTTAAATTCAAAAACTCATTTCTTAAGACGCACAACCGCGCGAAAGACGAGTTGATGAACCTCATTCGATCTCATTGTTGTAAGACACATTAATGCATCATAATTGGAGTTCAATTCCTCTGTACAATGAGGTAGATGGATGTTGCGGATGACGTCACTGAATGAGAAAATGATCTTGAATTCGACATCTTGTATTCCTCATGGCATCATAAAAAGCAGCTTAAATTGATGCAATATGAAAAAAAAAAATGGATGGGTTACCAGAAAGAATTTATAGCACAAAATTGCTAAAGATAATTGAAAAAATATCGCCAGGAAAGGTAGGCACACCTGCGTGTAATAACGCAGTTGCAATGCAAGGATAACAATCGTGGGTAAATAGTTTTCATTTCAAAATATAGTAAGTTAGTCAGTCAGTCAGTCAGTCAGAGTTAGCCAGTCAGTAAATCAGTCAGTCAGTCAGTCAGTTAGTCAGTTAGTCAGTAAGTCAGTCAGTCAGTCAGTCAGTCATTCAGTCAGTCAGTCAGTCAGTCAGTCAGTACGTCAGTCAGTAAGTCAGTCAGACAGTTAGTCAGTTAGTCAGTCAGTCACTCAGTCAGTAAGTAAGTCAGTCAGTAAGTCGGCATGTAAGTCAGTCAGTCATTAAGTCAGCATGTAAGTCACTCAGCCAGTCAGTGAGTCCGTCGGTCAGTCAGTCAGTCAGTCAGTCAATAAAGACGGCTAAGAGTTGATCTTGTTTCATTCAAAAGTCCGGAAAAGCTCGTCAGGGCTAGCGTTTCCACCCGGTTCCTATTCCTCCTTATTTGTCTGAAAGTTAATTCATTCTATTACTTTCAAGGCATATTTTCTGATGCGTGCATCAAATTAGCCCACATGCACTCCGATGCTGTAGATTTTCCAAAGACGGGAAAGTGCCCGACTCTTCCTAAGGAGCTGAGACCTGATCAGTACCCAGACTTCATGATGAAACCCGGCAAACCCCGCTACAAGTAGGTCATATGCCATATGCTCACTAAACCTAATCAGCGGCATTTAGTGTTAAATGAAGGAATACCGTAAATCCTCGAATTAGCNCCCCGAGTTAATTTTCGTTTCGCATGAAATGATTTTTAGGGCCTTTCAAATGTCTAATTGAGTTCTGTGTCCCACCCATGAAAAAGAGACGCCCAAAGCTTTATGAGGCTTTCCTAGATCAAAAATTTTAAGTGTATCAGTTACATTTCCGTCAATTTATGAATCTTTCCTTTATTTGTTTTCAGTTCCCAACGAATCCTGGGAAAACTGTTCCGTAAGTGTAAATCACTTGACCGTGGCCAGCAGTTCTCGGGGGACGCTACTCAGACCCAGATCACCCCTGATCAAGACATGATCGTACAAGGCTACGAGCAATACCTTGAAGACGCTAAAGCAGCGAGAAATCACTATAACACCAAATTGGAGGGTCTTATGTCTTTATATGGCTTGAGAAGTGAAGGCGAAGTGATTACTGGCTGTCTTGTGAGGGTAAACACCCGTCTTTCTGGCAAAACCGATGAGAAATTCGAAGTGGCTCAAATGATACAGGCAAGTCTTTCAACACTGCGCTCGAAAACACGGCACGTTTTTTATGACGAATTCGGTGGTGAAGACGAGGTGATGGAAGAGTTTGAAGAAAATGGTGCTTTTAGCGATGAAATCCTGATGAAAGCGTCTGCCTGGTACATGGCAACGTACGGAGAAGACGACGAAGACGAGACTGCAGTCACTGAGGTGCAAGTGAGAGCATCGTCCAATGAATTACTGAGAAATCAACAACAGAGTGACGCAGGAGGTCCGAGCAGGCTGCTTAGCTTCCCGTGGGTTGTCGACCGAATCCTGGCAAAGATTAAGGACGCGAAGCAAACAGAAAGAAAAGAAAACGGAATCCAGAAGCGACATGCTCTCAGTGCAGTCGGAGACCTTGTTACAGCTCAAGCAGCCTACTTTTTTGAAAAGTTCCGATCAGATCTATTGGAGGATCGCGACATGCGAATTCAAGAACGTGACAAGTTACAGAGAATGCTAAACCTCCTCCTTGGGGTAAACCATGTTCCGCGCCTGTCTTTATGTGATACTTCGCTGACCGGAATCTCCATTGGTGACGAAGAGAGGCGCCGTATTGAGATTTATGCGCATTACAAGTGGAACGCCACTGATCAAGAGCAGTATCAATACCTTCATTGGCTGGGAACAGAATTGACTCGATCTGGCGAGGTTAAAATACAAAGATATCCTGTTGCGTTGCGTTTTCAACGTACTCAAGGTATTGTAACGTAACAGAAAGCTAAATTATGTCACTGGCGTACTTCAAATAGTGTTTAACAGTTACATTTTATTTTGCTGTTCGCTTGTTACGGTGTGAATGAAGGTTACACCAAAACCACCGTTAGTCAATCATCAATCTGTTGGTTGTAACAACATTTTGGTTTCTTCTCGAAATCTTTCTGCACTGACTCTACCAAAAAAACTGTAGCGGTGAAAACAAATGAAAGACCTGATTTTCTTTCAAATTTATAACAGCAAAGATAAAATGCAAGGCAATTTTCGACATTAAAAGGCTGAGATCCATAACAGTAGTTTCTGATATGGACGTCTTCGTGAGAATATTGGAAAACTTGTCTTATGTAGATCGCAATTTGAAGTTTACTGACCAAACAACCGATGAAAGTACGCATATGTTACCTTGCCTACCTCATGAGTAATTTTTGCTAAGATTGATTAAAGCAGTTATGAGTTCACAATTACATTAAAGAACATATCAATTAAACGATACCCATACGATGGAGATATGCTGACATTCTCCTGTTATCTAGGGTTATTGAAACAGCAATACTACATCACAGCGGATTCCAACAGACTGCTGAAGAGTGCGTATGTCAGTATTCATGTTCAGCGGTGTCCTCGTCTCCTTCATCTTCTACTGATTGTAATGCATTGGGGCCGACGGCGGCATCTTAATGGCAACTTAAAACATAGCTTCATCTCAGACGAAAATTTGGCCACTCTCTTTGTCACCTTTTGTGAAAAGTCTGAATTCTTTTATGAGGTACGTCTGAGACGTTAAAGAAGGTCTAAAAGTATAGTGGAACCTAGCCTCGGAGACCTAGGGGCAGCTAGTCGGGACGACGCGATTCTGGGCGAAAGTTTTGGAACGGCAAGAGCTGCCCTTGATGTAAACTTTTGCCCGAAAATATCGTGTCGTCCCGACCAGCGACCCCCGGGTCTCTGAGGACGAGTGGAACGACAAGAGAAGCGAATGGCTTCACGGGTGATTTTGACCATTTCATGGCATCATTTCTAAGGTATATACGTTTACAGACCATGGAAGAATGTAGCCGATATTGGTCAGTCAAAAACAAATTTAAAAAGTGTCGGCCAGTTGTGCGAAAATTCAGCAGGGACCTTTAGATTGAACTACTAGTACAAGATGGAGTGCAACTGAGTACGATTGTCGAATTTTAAATCAGTAACGTTTCCAGAGCCCACGCTCTTCACTGTTGGTTTTAAGGTAGCGATAGTAGCTCATGGGATAAGATGATTTGTGACGTGATGATGTGAAGCCTGCAAACTAGAATTGAAAAGTCGTTCTCGTACTCGATCTCGAACTCATACTCAAATCTTAAGTCCCCTACTGTGAGATCGCACGTTTAACCCTACCCAGACCAGGTTAGGACCTGGAGGGGAGCATTTGAGGCCCTCATCTGGTAACTCTTAGAGCAATAGGCTATGACAATGAAACTTACAAGATATAAATTAAGTCCAAAAATATCTCCTTTGAGGTCCATTAAATTGGATGACGTTATATGATGTAAAAATACGCCATCATTTTCAAACCGCCGCCATTTTGGATCTGCCATCTTGTGTGATGATCTGTTTGGCAGCTTTACTGAACAAGAGCTTGAACTCTATTATAAGCATAACAGTTCCAGTTATTAAACAGAAGTGGTATTAAAATGAAGATTTATTTATATTTTATGTTCCAGAATTGGATTGTAGTAGAGTCTAGGCATTAACCTTTTCAAGGTGGTTCGTTTTCTTTTGACTTTTGTAATTAATCTCTTTGATAAACAGTTTCGCACAATTTGTATTTGTTACAAAACGCTTTGCAGGCGCGTCGAACTTGAGATAGCGAGTTTTGATGCTACATACCTCGCAGCTCCTAATGATTGTCACTCTCAATGCTATTTTTTAGATTAGCCGCGACGAACTGCAAAACTTCAGTTCCAGTCTCCTCGGATTACCAACCAGTACTGAACAATCTGAAGCCGAGCGGTTGTGGAATATTGAAGTCCTGGGTGAAGCTTCTCAAGCGAGACTGAAAGGATTCAGTGACGAAAACACTCCAGGTCACGTGCTAATCAAATTTTTTGAGCATTACAGTACACAGGCTGACGATGACCCGCTTCATTTACGACTCATGAAGAATCCAGTGAAAATCACTGAAAAGCTTTGTCCGGACGTCTCTCTAGAACAAAATGGTCGCTTCTCTGACGCGGCGCTTCACGCATTTCACGAGATTGCGCAGTGCTGTGGCCTGGACAGTCTCACTGCGTCAATTGAAAGAGAGAGCACACGCGAACTTCAAGAAACGCTGAACATGCCAAACACGACTTGGGGCGCACTTCGATTTGCTGAGGAGTTTGTCCGAGTCAAATTATCAGCACTGACGTCAGCACAGATCACTTTACGACCTGGTGTGTATTGTTTTCTTTCTTCGACACCGCAGACTGCGAGTAGTCCCTCTCTCATTTAGTCTTTCGAGTGCAACCGTAAATAAACATCGAGAATAAAAAAAGGGTGACCATTTTTTTCATGCGGTTTTCTTTCGCATCACGCACGACAAAGCGAAAGAGGAACTACTCGTAGACTACTCGTAGTCTATTGATAACGTTTCCTATCAGGATAAGAATCGCTTGCATGGCTGCGGGAAACCTTTCAGCATCATTCTTAGAAATGTGATGACTTTCGTTTCAATATTTTCTTCAATCCGCGATATTTTCATTTTGTCATTAGATAGCTGATTTGTGAAACTCATGCGATAGTGTATAAAGAAGCACTGAAATAAGAAAATTCGGGCGTCGATGTGGTTTTTACGTAAAGTAAACGATTCAAAGTTGAAAAAATGAAGCTGTAACGACTTCCAATCAGCATTATGCGCATAACCAGAGCCAGTTTGATGTTCGGACTAAACCAAGACCCCCTATTTGTGAGTCGATATCATTTTATAATTTTCATTTACTTATAGCTCAAAAGTCCGCCGGCTACATTCTTGAGGCAACGGGGGACTATCTTACATTACATACTGTTCAGAATGAACTGGAGAAGCTGGAAACAACCTGCACGTCATACATCTATGACCACACCGTTAGTGGTGCTACAGGGTTCTTGTTCCTCGGCCAAAACGGACCAGAAGATGCTGTTACTTTCAAAAAATTACAAAGAGACTTTGCTGTCAACCTCAGTCCAATACATGCTCTCCTGTCGAGTCTCTCCGTTACTTCAACCGACGATTTCGCAGAAAAAAAGTTCTGCAGCATGCTCTCCTCCCAGCTGGAAGTCTTTAAACGTGAACATCTTCCCTATGTACACGGTACAGACAGACTGAAAATTAAGGCGGAATTTGGAAGCATTTATGTTGAAAACGTGCAAATTCTTACGTCGCGGGTTGACATCGTTGAGAACGCCTTGAGTCGGAGCGCAGATCCCAAGAACCAATCAGGGCAGGCTAGGAGACAGCTTTTGATGAGACACAAGTTTATACCAATTTCGCGTGGGGCAGACGGTTGGACTGCAGCATTTGAGGCAAGTTCCCTGGAGTCGACGGATGAAACATACACTCTTGGAATAAAAGCAGGCAAGAATCACATTCTCGCTGTCATTTACGACAAGGATTTGAAGTTTTGCGATGTTGAAATTCCACCAATAAACTGGGTCGTAGTTGACGTGAAAGCCCCGCGTCCTGCCAGAACGAAGTCACGTGATATTGATTTCCGAGTTACCGTCTGTTCCGAGCGAAAACTCGAGGGGAAAGAGAAAGAGGAAGTTATGAAGTCAGCAAATTATGAGGTATTTAAGACGAAATCTGTCATCAGCAAGCAACCTAATGGAGGTCCGGGATTGGTTTTGGTAAACGAATTCCTAAAGAAGGCTTCTTTTGTCCGCCATGACAAAACGTCCATGTATCGTATCTGCAATGGAAATCTGTCACTGCAAGTGAAAGAAGTCCAAAAATATGACGTAAAAGGAACAAGATTCCTTAACACTCCCAGCAAAATCTTCACCGAATTGCAGATATGGGGGCAGTTCAACGGAAAAGATGACGAGGAACTGGCGATGACTGTTGCCAGGGACTTGTGGTCAGCAACTAAGAAGCTTCGACCACACATTCACAGCTAAGAGTTCAGAGAGAATAATATGAATTTTACAGTTAGGCCTATTTTCGCTGGGCGTAGGTAGGACACCAATTAGATCATATCTTTTTGAATTTTCGATTTTACCCAACGATGCGCATGTTAGCTTGTAGCATTATTTTACATGCGGTTAAATTCTCAGCTAAGGCTATGCAGGACACCATTGTATTTCTTAAGATTACCGTTGTATTTTACCAGCCGAGTCCACATGCTTGCAGCGTTAGTTGGTTAGTTTCAGGGCGTCAACAGTGGAGATTGCTTGCGTTAATTATGTGCAGCGGATCGAAATTTGTTAACATGGCCTGCATAACAGTTAATTCGAAAAAATATTTCAATGAATTAGATGTTCCACTCATATGATAAAAAATGCTACGCTTTTGATGACTTTACCTGAACTTTGTAAAGAACTTAAAAGTTGCATTGCGTCAAAGAAGCAAGGCATTAAGCTTACCCTTAACCTTTTCAATTTTTTAATAAAGTGATTTAATGGAAGTGAATAGATATATTTGAACCGCGGAAAAAAATTAAAGACATGAATGATGATCGCCGTTATATACACAACTTCATCAGTTGTGAAAGTGTGTGAAATTTGTGAAATAGATTCATTACCTCTAGAAAACAAATTTAATAAAGTGAAAGACACATGCCGGTTCAGGGTCATCAGATCATCGGGTGGTGGCCGCGAAACAACTCTCACAAGACATTGTGTCAGGGTAGATCAGTTTGAGATATGTAATCTAGTTTGAATTGGAGTTAATTTCTTCTTGCTGCGTGAAAACAACCAGTAAGCATTCTGAGATTTCATTTGTTTGTTTTGTTTGCAGGTTGTTTGCTTTCAAGATAGAGATTAGATTAGTAAACGTGAGGTAAAAATTCATCTCTTTTGCAAAAATACAACCAGATGTAGCAAACAGTACTCGATTTCAGTCTAGAAATATATTTTAGTATCTTTTTTTGTTGCATGGACATTTTCCCGACTTCCCACACGCCGATTTAAGTCAAAATGCCAAAAACCTGGCATTCAAACTGAACATGATGTTCCATCAATCAACTTATTTGGTGTAAAGTATTAAGTTCTTGTTCTTATAATTTTAATTTTTTATGCGTTTTAATAAATCCTGTCAAATTTTAACGTGTTGTTGTAGCCATCGAGTCACTTCCTCTTCGTGTCGACTGAGCCAAAGAATATTGGCGTGTATTTGTTCTATTCCCATTTGAACCTGTCGATACGCCGCTTCAGTCGGCAAATAGTCTTTGAAAAAGTTCATAACCTAGAACAAAATAAAACACGCAAAGTGACGTCATAATATGCCCAATGTTTGCAAAATAAACTTGTCTACCTGCATTGAAATTATTGCTCCAATTAGTCATGGATTTCAAGGCTGGTCTGGTAGATTGTGTGATCCTGCTCGAGCGCAAGCTATACATATCGCGCTGACGTTTGCGAAAAAGGTAGAAACAGCTCTCGGCGGCTGCTAGTACGTCAGGCTAGTTATTTAAAGGCCACCATGAATGAAATCATGGGTGAAAAATTATTCCTCAATTTTGGCGCGAAATTTCAGTGTTAATTTACAATTTTACATGTGGAATTACACAATTACAATGGTAAAGTTTGGCGCGAAATTTCTCGATACGAAAAGTCGAAACCCACGATTGTAAGCGTATAAAATGGAATACTCGTAAAATTTAGAGATAATTTCATTTGCTCTTTGTCAAAATGTAGAATTTTGTTAAAACGCGTGTGAAATTGTTTCCCAGTTTCACTCGTCGCGATTTGGTTGCCCTTACAAACGTTAAACCAGCCTGTCCACAGGTGGAATCACTCCACATGTTCAGTTTCAATTACCTCGTTTAATTGGACTTGCGTGTTACATTTGAACATCAGGGATGTTATTAATGTTGGCCATTCATCGGATCCGCGACTGTATCTAAAGAGAATAACAGTAAAACATTAGTGGAAATTCTTTTATTGATTAATGTAAAGCCTTGGTCCTAAATGTTAATTTTACAAATTCACAAACAATTTTCTTCACTTTTTTTTCCTCTTTGAATTACAGGAGAACTTTCCTCTCAGCATGTTGAATTAACCAAATTCTAAAGAATTTGGTATTATTTGGTAGTAAAATACCTTTTGTAAATGAATTGCCAGTTTTGACGTACAAAATTCCAGGCCATTCGCCAGGACTTGGGCTTGGAAGCCAATCCACTTATAACTGAGAGTGTGTCTTGGGAAGGGATTTTCGCCTTGTCCAGTGAATAGTTCAAGCATCTGTGCGGGATATGAATTTTAAAGTGACATGTGAGGACAAACTTAAAAATCTGTTTCCATGAAGAAAAAATACAGACATATATAGTTTGGCACCAAAGATGCCACACTGTGAAGAGCTAGTAAGAATGCTAAAAACTGAATCAGGGAAACAATTTTTAACAAATATCATCAGCTGGACAGCTTTGGTAAGTGAAACACCAGTTCATTTTATGAATATGACGTTCGAGCGTTAGCCATTAATTGCAGCAACTGTCTATTCGTTGGTTAATTACTTCTTAGCCTGGTTTTCACTGGTGACGCAAGCAAAAGCGCAAGCAAAAGCGCAAGCACAAAAGCAAGCACAAATGCAAGCAATAGGGATGACCCAAGTGAAAACGAAATTCGACACAAACACAAGTACAAGGAAAATCATTCGAACCTTCCGCCATTTTAAAAAACTGTTTAGGCGGGAGGTAATCTGGATCCAGTGTTTTCATTGGCCAAACATAATCACGTGAAGGAAAATTCTTGTGTTTGTGTTATGCCTGAGCGGTATTTCGCTTTAACTTGTTGCAGCGCAAACGCAAGCATGGGCGCAAGCACAAAAAAAGGAAACAGTTTGATCCTCGTGCTTGTGCTTATGCCTGCGTCAAGGTCGTTTTCACGGTGAAATAAGAATTATTGTGTTTGCACTTGTGCTTGCGTCGCTAGTGAAAACCAGGCTTAATTTACCGAGCGCAAGGGCATTACTGGGAGAATATCGCCCGAGGTCTTTCTGACAAGGATCGGCGTCGACTCCGCAATCAAAAAACATTCCTGCAGGATGGCGGCTGGAAGGGAAAATGTTGCTATAACGAAACTAATGAAATTCTCCGTTTCCTTACCTTTGTATCATTCGTGGATTTCTCGTATACGAAAGAGATTCCAGCAGAATACGTTTATCAGAAGCGATGTGAGTTGTAAAGTACTTGTCAAAAACTTGATTCCATTCTTCTTCGCCACCCTCTTGGACACCAATAGAATATACTAGAAAGCGAAGATTTGTTGGAATTCTGTGGGAATAGATATAAACTAATTCATTTTTGTCCACGTACGTTTATATCAAACAGCCCTCTGGGTGTGTATTTTTGTAATAACTGTCAGTTAAATGAAGTCCTCTACTGACTTTCATTTAATACCGCCTTTGTAATGGATCAAAGGCGTGTCTCTCACAAATTCCCCCTTTCGGGAATTCTACGTTGTATGATAATGATAATTGTCTCTTACTTCGGATTTTGTTTGAGGGTCTTTCATTTAGGTTCAACAAATGTGATAAAAGAAAGTAACCTACTTTGGCAGCGTTATGACGCACTTTCTACTACAAATAAGGCCAGACGAATAAACATTTTATGTCAGTTTGAGACAAAAAGAGCATTACGTGAAAAGCTCAGGTGTTGTTGACGAAGTTCATCACCATCACCATCATTATTAGCCATGATAAAAAAAGACGTATGTACAAGTAAAACAATTCAGATAGGGCGAAGAGACCTCTAAAAGAAAAAACATTACACAACATTGCTCACGTCTCTTTTCCTTCCATAGCGAGTTTAAACTTGGTCTTGACTTTGGAGATAATAGTTTGGTCTGAATAATCACAGGCTGCCGACAGAATCTCTGGCCTCAGGAGTCTTAAAAGAAAAAATTAATTATAATCACATAAAATATGAAGACATCTATGAAGGTTTCTCTTCCGTGTTTTCAACATTGTAAACACTAAAAGAATTTATACATTTCGCCAATAAAAGTATCAGATGATCAAACAGATGATGATGATCAAACAAATCGAAAACATTTAGACTCATAATTTTAACAGCATTTTACCTTAAAGTTTTATATGTTACTAAAAGAATAGATAACTAGCTGCAGTGTAAATGATCGAAGCTTAATGCTTGAGCCTTAAGAGTTTAAGTCTAGTTGCTCCTTTTTGGCGGATTTTCAGTTTAGAAGTCACTTATTAATTATATAGCAAGGAAGTTTAAGATTGTCACGTACTTTTTCAAGTGGGTTCCTTTGTCATCCCATCCTAGTCGCTCTATGGATGGCTGAAGCTGTTGTAACATATACGTCTGAGGGATAAACAAAAAATAAACAAACAAACAAACAAACATTTTAATGAACGTTTAACTACAATATGTTGTTTCTTGCAATTGTACCATCATATTTTGCCCTGTGATAACTGAAATTTTCACCTGTTTTTCTCCTGATTAAAACAATTTTAGTTTTACTGTCGACATTGCCATTCACAAATTCAGGAAAAGTACACGGAAACTGGGGGAGCGTTGAAATTTGACAATATTGCTTTGATGTTCAAAGAGGATTATTCACAACGAGTTCTTAGTACAATGCAAGCTAAGCCGCTCAGATTTGTCAAAGACTCAATAGCTATTGGTCGAAAGAGGAAAATACAGAGAACACCAAATGAAATTACCTTCAAGACGTCAAAAGACTTTCGAAGTATAAACTGGTTACCAATGTACGCCATGTTTCGTAAGAAGGTTATCAAAGGAGTATATTCCGTCTCGTGTTGTATGTAAACTGTCATGTCCAAGGCTACAGCGTGCTCGAGTTGATCACTCCTGAGAAACGATTGATACGCTTATCAGACTAAAGAAATCAAACCAACTAAGGGAACGATATATAGAAATTGAGAGATCTAGCAAAGGAACAGAAAAGCGTGAAACTATAAGTTATTGACCAGGAGAGAAAAATGCCATGTCGAAAAAACCCTGATGCATTACCTTGCTAAATGAAAAGCGTCATCAATCAGTCCGGATCGGTCAGCAGCATTCAATGCCTGCAATACAATGCAGCTGATAAGGACTCTGTCATTCACGGCGTTTCCACGACCGATGACGTCTTTTTATGGTTGGCTGAGTATTAAGGGTGAACCATTTGACTTCTGAGGGGGAAAGGGTTGGTGATTTGGTACAGGCACGAGTTTTTTTACCCTTTCATGGACTGGATTTTTTTCTCGGAAGGTCTGTATGCGTGATATTTTGTCGTATAACATGCTTTTTTTTCGGCTCACTGAACGTGCGTGAATTTGTCTTTTTTTGGCAGTGGTAGTGTGCATGAATGTTTTTTGGTACAAGTGTGCCTGCAGGATGTTCTTTTTCAAGATCACCCACCCTCCCATAAAAGTCAAATAGTCCTCCCCTAACTGACATTTAAGAACAAAGACGTTCTTGAAGAACCAATACAATGCTAGGATTTAATCAGTTATGCCTCATTTCCTGGGAATGATTAGGGATTCTTACTGCAGGAGTCCTTTCGCTAAAGCGTGATACACGCCCAGCGGAGACGCGAATAATGAGGATTTATTTTCTTCGCCGTGTTCAAGGCTTCTTAGCTATACGAGAAACCCACTTAAACCCAGGGTAATTGTTAATTCTTGCTATTTTGTTTTTCAAACTATTCGTTGCAATCATAGGTCACAACTACCTTTTTCGATTCTCTGTAGAAGTAATGAAAATCTATGATAATAGTTACAGACGTTTTCATGGGTTTTACACATTTGAACTTACAACGTGGTCTATGTTGAGCTGGTTGACAAGACCTTCCCAGTTGCTTTTTTCATAGTTAACTCTGTAATATCCAATCTGATCAACATTAGCTTTTATCCAACCTGATGTCTTGGGCCACTTGATTGAAGCTGAAAAACAGTTCCAAAGGCTGTTAAGATCGTAATAACTTCACATTACTCAAGACCCAGTATTTCAGTTTTATTGCGCTCATAATAAAAACACTGCTTAAAAACTTCATTATAACCAAACACTAGGCACCGCTCAGTGGCGGATATAGGGGAGGGGCCCGCCCCCCCTTTTTTGGGGGGTAAAAAAAGAAGAAATGATAAAGGAAGAAAAGCCGGCAAAGCAAGTAAAACAAAACCGCCCCCCCCCCACCTCCTTGAGGAGGTGGGGGGGGGGGTGCTCAAGGTCTTGATCCGCCACTGCCGCCAATAACGCAAACATGTTGTGTTCTAAAAACATAATCCCGTTCTGCCATGGTCCTTATGAATTAAAAAACAAAAAACTTAACTTAAGCGTCGAGGAATATCTCTATTCAAAAATCTAATTGGAGATATTTGTAATATATAAGGATACACGTGACCTAAATATTGTGCAAATCAGAGTAAAATGTTCGTCACATCCAACTAGTTTGTTCACCCTTCGGCGTAAAGTAAAAATCCTTGAAAGTAGTTTCTCTTAGTATTATCTTGAGCTATAAAGTGTAACGCACTCCAAAATGACTTAAATTTTGTTCAAAGGAGATGTTTTTCTTTATATTACCGACATCGACTAAACAAAGTTTGTTTGAATCACATTAATTGCATGGTTTACCACTTCCTCGGTTCATCCAAACTTGAACACTTTTACTGTCCTTCTGTGTTATATACGTCAGGGGTATGTTCCAGCTATAACTGCAAAAACAGCAATATCACAATAAATAAAGTGCAAGTGGCGCACCTCATTCGCACGTCAATCCAGCACTTGTGTAATACTTACTTGAAAGGCGAATTATGGTGGTGTTTGGCACCAGGGTAGATAAGAAAACGTTTCTGGTCAGCGGTCGCCATCTCTTGGTCCAGGCGCATGATATTAACGACTGGCAAACCCATCTGTAATGTCCAAGTGTCCATAACCTCTTTGACATTGACACCACTTACCTAGTCAAAACAATAAGTCATAAAGTTTTAACTTGGTGACATTCAACTTCACAAAGGAAGTGCTTTCAATTTAAAATCGTCATTATCATGAAATGGAAGAGCGTGGCAAGAATCAGTGGCGTCATAACCTACTTCAGACATAGACTCCCATAATTCATCAGTTTGGGCGTTGCCGTACGTATACTTTTGGAGATACGCCCGCAGACCGGCAGTAAAGTGATGAGAGCCAATGAAAGACTTCAACATCCGGATCACAGAGGCTCCCTAACGATAAAAGCATAAATTCAGACATGTGGCTGTCATTAAAACACTAATAAGTCACCAAACGTTTTACTAAAATGAAGCGTAAGTGCATCTCAATCAGGATAATGCACACCATATATAGCGAGTGAAGGAACAGATCTTGATTGCCCTCTAGAAGGCTCCTGAACTTTCCACCATGCGGATTCCTAAAAAAAAGTGTTTCCTGCAATTCATAGTCTATCTTATAGCCAATACTATGACCGTACCCATCAAAAAACATTACAAGCTATATAATTCTAATTACTTTTAGAACAATAACCGAGCCTCCTTTGTTACTTTAAATTGCGTACCCCTCAGATATCTATTTGGAGTATGATAATAAAGGATTTTCAAGGTAGTAGCAAACCTTTTCGTATGATATAGCATCAAAAATGTTGTCGATGTCTTTGGGATCTTTTACATCAACTGAGATAGGGTGGGAATAACTGGACTGGTCTTCACTGAGGGCCACCTGAAGTTTATCGATGATAAACTGATTTGTCATGTTCCAGTGCGGTTCAACATAACTTGCTCCTATGTTCTCCATGTATGTAGCAAAGCCTTCATTGAGCCACAGATCATTCCACCATTTCATGGTCACGAGATTTCCAAACCACTGAAAGTAAGATATAATTAAGGCTGACATTCGATATTTGTTTTGTTATGTGCAGTGCCAACACTGGTAATGGTGTTCATGGAATGGTAAAAGAGCGTTATATAAAGATGGGTTGTAATTTAGACTAGGCCCTTGATCGAGAAGTCTTTGCCACCCACCAAATCGTTACGTAAACAATGGGTAAAATGAAAGAAAACAAGGAAAGTCTAAAGTTACTTGTACAATCTAGGGTTAGGCAACATCACAAGCCATTATATTAAACCCAAATTATCTTATTTAAAGATTAAATAATAAAGATCTGAAATCTAAGTTGCCTATTCAATTATATGATGCGTTTCCTAAAACTCTTGGCAACACTTTTTTTAGACCTATTTAACAACTTGACAAACAGGAGTAGAGGTAGACAAGAAGCCACTGAAATTGCCTCGTACCACACGCTTCTTTGACTGACCTGATGTGCCAGTTCATGTGTTATAGTCTCACAGACACCTTGTTTGATGTTGTCTGATGTCTTTTCAGGATCAAAAAGAAGCATTGGACTGGTGAAACCGATAAGTCCCCAGTTTTCCTCGGCACCCGTTGAGAAGTCAGGAATGACAACAAGATCTGAAATTGAAAAATTATTATAATAATGATGAATTGATCGTTCATGTTTCAAACACGTAAACACTTATTATTCTTAAGCAAAACATGCCGTGTTACCTATCAAACCTTCACTCTCCGTTTTTACCCCGGTTTCATATTTTGGCCTGGTAATTCAATTACTAGACGTATTAATTAGTGTCGCAATCAATCAATCAATCAATCAATCAATCAATCAATCAATCAACCAATGAATCAATCATTTTTCTTCTTAATCAGTTACACTTTCCAGTTGCCCCTACATAAGATGATAAGTATGAGATTGTTATTCCAAGCCGTAAGGTATTGACATTCACATAATGTTTCATCAACATCATCATCATCTTCATCATAATTATCGTCATCATTCGACGCGATTGCGGCGTTTGTTTGAATCTTTCGATGCTTTTCGATACTTAATGGCCCCATGCCATAGGGTAACCATTTATCTCCTTGCGTGCTCTAGTGTTGTGTTTTGAATGGTGTTTTTGCATTCGTTTTCACACTCGGTCCTCTTAAACTTATTAAATGTAATAAGCAATTATGAAATAGTGTTTTACAACATCTCCGGTTAAAATCTTAGCGTTAAGTGTCAAATTATAAATGCCCTGACAAATGCGTTTCTTACCGTTCATATGGCTTTATTTGTGATTTTATTGAATTTCCTTCGGTGAAATCTTCCAAAATTTTCGGCGGGATACGAATTTTAAACACAAAAAAGTAGGGTTTTTACAGGCGTTTTTTTTTTTGTTTTTGTTTTTGTTTTTTCGATTTTTGAAAATTTGTCGTTTACCGCTGCAGAAAAACAGGTCAGATAGATTTCCCTGAAAACAGAGTTCCAACCTAAGTACAATATTTTTTACCACTCTGCCAAATTTTACGGAGTTTCACCGAAGGAAACGCGAGAAAATTCACTGTCAGTTTTGCTTTTTGTGCTCATGTTGATTGCGTCATAAAATATCCAAAAACACTGACATTTTCCTTTGAGCGCGCAGATTACGCGAGCGATCTTAAAACTATAGATAGCCACCTTAACTTGTTTTTAGTATTAACATGCATTGGTGCTTGCCTTGCTTGGGAAGAGGGAAATTTATCTGAAAGAATTTCTCATAATTTGAAAGTGTCTCTGTTGCGATATCCAAAGCATATGATGCCTGTGCGATCTGTGGCGGTGGAGTCCAAACACGAACCTAAGGAAGGAATTGAGAAAATGAGTGAAATAATATACTCTGAATAGAATATCGGTACTTCTGCAATGGTGGAACAAATAGAGTACAAGCGAGTTGCTTTCATGACCCCAAGACATAATATTAAAGTGGTAACATACGAAACAGGGGCCCGTTTCTCAAAAGTCCCGGAAACTTTTCCGGCCACAAAACTATTTTTAGTTAATCTGTATCTAAAACAGGGAGGCGTATACGCCTGAAACTTCTCGTATGAAGGGAACCCCTGTTCATATTGAGAATATGTGGATAAAACAGCTCTGTAATCATTTTCTTTCTATATATGCTTTAATTGTGATTCACACTACTTGCAACACTGGTACAACTACTAATTACAGAAGTGATAACTATTTACAACAGTTTGAATACAACAGACTACTTACACTACTTAACAATACGGTGCAATTACAGAACTTGCTCTACAAAACAATACATTTACCCTTTTTAAGTTACGATACTAATACTTACACTACTTACTTCTTATATTATATTGTAAGTAGTGTAAGCTCTGTAATCATGAGGTCTGAGATTTTGCCATGGCTTTCCCGGTGCGAAAACGTTTGGGAACCTTCGAGGAGCACAGCCGAAGTTCAAGCATGTGTGGGGTAACGGAGTGAAGCCCGTGGATAAGTGACTTTCAAGGAATTATGGGTATTGGAGTTCTTACCTTTATGCCAGAGGTTGTAGTTTTTTCCTTGTAATCGAAGTCGCTCACTAAAAATGCCACCAAGTATGTACTCATTCTCACTGATTCCTGGAACTGGTCCGCGTATAAATCATCTCCAATTTTAATCTAGCAACAAAAATTATTCATCTCATGAGATTTTATCATAAGCACGTCCAGGGCCATTCATTTGCTGACGGTCAGGATAGCTTAACATTGTTAAAATTCCCATGGCAACATATCGCACGCTCTGTTTTTGAATCATTCTGAACACTAGCCCTTGTGCAAAGATCACTAGCGAACAGAAATGTCACGCAGTGGTCGTGTTAAAAGCTTATGTAAACTTGACTCGCGCTCAAATAAGTTAACAAATTTTGTTACTTCCTTCTAATTTCAAGTGGGAGGCGCGGTGGTCTTATGATTAGTGCGCTCGTTTCAGGATCGAGCGGTCAGTGTTCGAGCCCTGGCCGGTGACAATGCGTCGTGCTCTTGGGCAAGACACTCTCACAGTGCCCCTCTCCACCTAGGTGTATAAATGGGTACCAGCGAACTTAATACTGGAGGTAACCTTACGATGCCATCCAGAGGGGGAGGGGGGGGGGGAGTAGAAATACTCCTAGGCGCTTCATGCTACAGGAACCGGGGTAAGGGCCGGCCTGATGGGCCCCTTGGCTCGTATGCAGACTTAACCTTCTAATACCAAATTCAGTCGGTTATAGACATCAATTTCATCAATGCGGTATATGACCATCTTGAACTCCCATCTGCTCGTCTTTCAAACATCAAACTGGAATAAACTTTTTTGTTTTGTGCTATAAAGTGAGCTAGAATCTTTTGGTAGAGAAAAAGCGCAAATATTTTATTTGTTATTTTCGATACCTTCATGGTTGAACTGATGTTGAAAGCAAGCTGTGTATGTTTTGGATTCCTTACCGTTTTCACGATGGGCATATTGGAGAGCGCAGTATATTTTCCTTCCCTGATGATGGTGACTGAGAACTTCGCCTTCATGGCAGGCTCGTCAAAACATGGAAAAGCTTCGCGAGCAAACGTTGGCTCAAATAAAGTGGCGGCTAAATACCTGGAGAAAAAATCACGTGACTTAGTGAAACAGTATATAACCTCAGCGGCATGTGCGCTCTGTAATCGCAAGGGTTTTCATGCACCTGCGCAGGCTGTAATATGGACCAAACAACAGCAATCTAAGACCCCGTCTACACTACACCAAAGGAATTTGAAAATGCAGCTTGATTTCTGCTGTTAGGCCTACCGTCCACCATAGTCCGTCTCGAAAACAGAGCTTTCCCAAAACGCTCTTCACGCCGGAGGAATTTGAAAACGCCAGCCTTGCATTTTCGTTTGGACGGAAAACGTTTTGAAAACGGAGCTTTTCAAAAACGATGAAGTTCCGTTAGTCATGTGATTTCCCTGTCCGAGTTTTCCTCAAACAAAAATCCAAAATAAACGGTGATTGTTGCGCTCTTAAATTTCCCCAGCGTAGTGTGGACGGAGAACATTTGATGCGTTTTCAGAATGAAACCTCCGTTTTCAAATTCCCATGTTATTGGATAGTGCAGCTGTATTCACCTGACCTCTGTTATTTTAACGAAGATTTTTTCAATCATAAAAGGTGGAAATCACTTCAATAGACCCTTTGCACGATCCGGTCACATGGTACGGAATTAATTATGCTGGAACGCAAGTTACACAGTGGGATTTCCAAAAGAAAGGAACTCGCACCAGTCCAGCCCGACTTTCCTTTGTTTTGAAAGTCCCACTGTGTAACTTGCGTCCAAGCATAATTAATTTTGTACCTTGTGACCGGATCGTGCAAAGGGCCTATTGAAGTGCCAATTGTAAATTGAACCATTGAATCTTTTCTGTTTACTTTCAGTGGCAGTAGATGCGCGCAAATGAATGTCATCAGTAAACATTCAATCAATGGTGACTGGTGAAGCAATACTGCAGTTAAAAAAAAGCAAACGTTACGAAAAGAGAGATACGGAATGAAAAGCAACTAAATTATAACCGGCAGATCACAACACGGGAAAGAGAGTTAGGAATTGCCCACATTTCCCAGGGCAACAGTACGTAAAGAAAACTATTTGCTCTCACCTGTTCATAGATAAAGTATAAAAAGAATTAAAGCTACGATTATGCATATCAATTAAGCACTTAAATGTTTACCGGAAACCTCAAAGTCTTGCATTGCTAATTCTGAGGCCTATAATTTCCCCTAAATTTCCAAAAATATCCGGAAAAGCTATATTACCCTAATCTGACCCGCTCGTGAAATATCATCTTGGTCTGTATCAAATGAGTGCTTGCTCATTTGAGACCCATTTCAGTGAAGTTTGAAATTTGGCCTGAAATAAACGTCAGCAAGCATAGGATCTTAACCTGTCACTAACCTTTTTTCGCCGCTTGTCGTTTTATAAGAACTTCTGTAGAGCCCAATAAGTTTATCCGTTAGTGGATATTCAAATTCTATGTAGATCTCGTAGTTTCGTTGTGGAGTTAGGTCTTCTTGGACTTCAATGAGAAACATTTCAAGTGTCTTGTTCTTCATCGTTCCTACAACCGGTAACTGCCGATCTGTGTTTCTGTCTTTGCTTCTTCCAATCATTCCTTCTTCTTCAACTACACCTTCCCTCCATGTTGCGGGAACATCCTGCACTTCTTGATTCTTTTCAATAAACACTGCAGTCTTAGATACATTCATTTCTTTCAAATGAAGAATTACATTTGCTGTGCTCTTGGCGCAGGTGACTAATATTTTAACATTTCCCTTCACCTGAAATAGTTTCAAATCAGTTTTCAATTCGATTTTGTAGCTAACAGGGAAAAGAGTCTGGGGAAGTCGTATTGCGTGCCATGGAAATTTCCGATCCTCGGCAGCACTACTCTTCGTAAGCGACCCGTCCCCGCGATATTCTATCACCTCAGTCAGTGCCAGACTTGCCAGAAAAAGACCAAACATGAACCTGTGCGCTGTGCACATATCGAATGCGACGACCAAGTTCCGTAAATGTTACAATCTCGGCGCGATTTAAAATTAACAGCACATATCCTAGCTTTGCCTTTTGGATTGCTTATTATACAATATACAATGCTCACATTGCCTCCCTAACAAACTACGAACCAACGATACTTGCTGCCAGCGGCAGGGCTGTTTTGTGGGTCAATCGGCAACAGGAGCTTCAGTGTTTGGATCCCCTCAAAAATTATTCCTAAAGAAATCTGCAACAGTCATGTGCTGTCTCAACATTATCCTCACTGAAATTTACATTTTCACAATAAGTCAACACTGCTTTCAATTTCTTTCTCATCCGTCTCACGAGATATGGCTTGACTGACCTCCGTTAAAGGTATTTGTTGTACATTGTAGTCACCATCTGTCTTCTCCTTGGCTAAAGCCTACAGTTAGTTCTGGGAAACAGCGCAACCTACAGATTATTCATTAATCTGCTAGCAGATGAGTGAATAATCTGTAGGTTGCGCGCGCAATGCATGATTTGCAAGAGCAATGTCAAATTCACGTAAGAACATGGCTTGTCGAAAATAAACTGTGTTCGGTGCGATATTGCGTTTGTCGTTATTTTCTTTAAAACAGTATAATAAAACAATTATGAGATTCGGTTTTTGTGATATCCAAAATAATCAAGGTCTCGGTTAGTGTTATCAGCCTCAGCCTCCGGCTTCTGCTGATAACACTTACCTCGACCTTGATTATTCCGGATATCACAAAAACCTCATCCAATAATTGTTTATTATACATGAACTCACTATCTCTTTTCTGATTGGCCGAAAGCGTACAGTAAATTTTCGAAATCAGCGCCTATGACGTCGTCTAGCTGCAGATTAGATAGATAGATAACTTTATTTAAAAGTAAAAATCTAAAGGTAAAAATTTCAGGATAGTCCCTTCAGGGAGCTTACAAAGCATCTCTGCTATCAATAGGAGCCCTGAAGCTATTAGCTAACGTTAACATATATATGACATCATACAATAATCATGTCAAGGACACTCAAGGTCACGGGTAATTATGTCTTGTATGACCGCGGCGCATGATTTCTAAGGGTAATCATGTCAAGTTCGTACGCTTTGCATTGATTGCGGACAGTGAAGAAGCAAAAACATGACTTCCATTTTTTTTTTTCGTTCATTGTATAATGAAACAATTATTAGATTCGGTTTTTGTGATATCCAGAATAATCGAGGCCTCGGTAACGGTTTTCAGCCTCAGCCTTAAGCTTCGGCTGATAACCCCTTCCTCGACCTTGATTATTCTAGAGATCACAAAGACCTCATCCAATAATTGTTTATTATCTCTTACATAACAGACGTTCCAAAATCCGTTGTTAATAAAAACGATTTCAGAAAATCGCAGTGTGAACACGGCATTGGCGTTTCTACACTTAATTACAAGATTGACGGTTATACACTTGCATTCATATATTTATGTCAAGATCTATATTCATGCACCTATCTCTATTTGTATAGGTAATTGTATGAATTCGAGTGCAATTCAGTGTTTACACTACGAGTGATATTTGAAAATTCTTTTAAATTGCAAGAGCCTAAAGACTCATGCAATTTTGGGAAAATTTTCAAATATCACTCGTAGGGTAAATCCTGCATTGCACTCGCATTCATACGATTACCTGTACAAATACACCAAGCAAACTTGCTAATCGCCGTTGAGTCCGGGATCGTGCTCAATTCAATGACGTCACCCAAGGCAAACCATGAACCAATCGCTGTTCGAAATCTCGTTCACGTGACAAGCTTTAGAGACCATCTTGATGCATCTCTAATCTTTTGGAAAAGCATACTCATCTGCTCGTATTGACCGGAACTGTCGTGACTGCGTAGCGTTACAACCGGATGTCATATTTAGTGCTTAGATGATTAAAGATGATTTACAAGTGAAATTGTAATAAGAGACAAGTATTGTGAGAGACCCGAACACAACGCAAACAACACGAGGATCGAGAGAGAAACTATTTTGTATTATTTTCGTTTCGTTTTGTCATGAAACCCGGAAATTGTTCACAACATCGAGAGTCTTTTGTGTACCGTACAACTTCGGGACAGTATCTATCGAAGGTTCTGCTCCTCTGTCACGTTGAAAGAATGGTGACCATATTTTGGAAATGTCTGTTTGTAGTGAATCCTATGTCAATATTTGCCTAACCGGAGTCCTGAGTCTGTACCGAGTCTGTCCCGAGTCTGTTCTGAGTCTGTCCCGAGTTCGTCCCGAGTCTGTCCCAAGTCTGTCCCGAGTCTGCTAACATTTTTCATGCTTTTCGAGCGATCGGTGAGCGAAATTCAAGGGTAAAATGGAGAGTTGAACATTAGAACAAGAAACAGAAGAACACACTTCAGTGCAGTCATTTATTTCTAGTGTTATGCAACCAGGTCAACTGGAGATTACCTTTACAACAAAATACTACTAGTACAAACATAATGTTGCTATTACAGTCATACCCCAGACACTATGGTTACACCAAAGGATACCCAGCAAAAGGACTTAAGAACACTTTTCATTGAGTGATTATCGCGCATGCAGATTACAGTACGTTTCCTTGGGATGATCAGGATCACTCGAATCATGGTGCATCAATGGAACCAGTTTACCCAGAGTGAATTTATCGGCTCCTTTGAAGCACCATGATCTGAGTGATGTTGGATGATTAATTCTAATCCGGACCATGCCAAAGAAACGCACCCTTTATTACAAGCTCTAAAAGAATTATTTCAAAATAAATGTCGAGAAATCCAATACTGTACACCAACAATTAAATGTCCTTTATCAGGCACCTTTTTGAACCAGAAAATGTGACATGAAATAAAACTCCTCTTCCTAAAAAGCATTCAGAATGAACGTAGGAAATAAGAGAAGACGGTGTTACTTCAGCACAAAAATAATTTGTAAAAGCTTAGCTTTGAATTGTGTGACGGCGTAACCCCTTTGGTATATACAGACATGTTTCAGTCACGACACTCGAAATATAAGTCCTCAGCATGTGGTACAGACCATGTCTATTCAAATGCTAGTGGTGCAAAATTATTCAATTCTTTCTTTTCCGATCCGTTCCAAACGAAACAAAAATATTATAAATACTGCAAAAAGAACCCTCCTTTGTAATACCTGTGATGCCACTACAGAACAAGATTGCCGAGACACTCGTTGGGCCTTCAATCATCCTTAATAAAGCAAGACCAACATTTCATTCTAAAAGCACAACCATTGTCTCCGGTTATCTCCAGGCATTAAAACACTCCACATGTAACTAGAATGTGGAGGAATCAGATCCTGATATGAAATAATAAATCCCGTCCACACGTACTCATGCATTCAGCTTAGAAAGAAATCGTTTGTAATTGGGTATTGATGGAAAAGCGTTTTGATTTAGAGTGAGAAGTGTTGCTGCAATGTGAACCGTTCGGCAACACTGAGGCCTATCAAGCCAACGAAATGCAAAACCCAAAGTCTGGCCAATTTCGATTTTGTGACCGTTTGTTTGTTTATTCATTTCTTTTCTCTAATGTTTAGCTTGAGACACTCACTCTACCGTCGCTCAAATCATAAAGGTGTGTCTCTTATGTGATGTCAAATAATGTTCGCGCTAACCCTTACTGCCCTTACACCCAATATCTAAAGGAATAAAATTAAGAAAAAATACGTTTTTTTGGAGTCCACCATTCCCATTACAAAAAATACAAATAATTCATTTTCACGTTTACCAATTTAAAATGTTAAGCAATAGTTTGGCATGTCTGACGGGAAAAAAATAATCATACCTTGTAAATTACCCAGCCCGAGTTTCCAAATTAGATTTTAAAGGTTTGAAGACCAAATATATTATATTTTTAGGAGTTGAACGCAAAAATTCACATTGTAATCATTATTTCACTGAATGAATACATATATATCCTGGATATAAGACAATTTAACTTGACCAGGAATGTTACGTATTTTAATTTCATGCAACAAAAACAACCCATGTTTTCATGGTCTACATTCTCATAACTCATGCGAACCACGAGCCTTCTCTCAGATATCGCAACATAAGGGACGGACCATTGTATTTTGGAGGGGACAGGTGGACAATTTTCTGGAGCATGAAATTTTTTTCTCGCCTTAAGGTTGTGCATGATTTGTTTGGTGGGCAATATCTTGTGCAAGAACTTTTTAACATCAAAAATAAGACCGTATAGTTGAAAGCATTTGCTCGTGTTTTTTGTTTTGTTTTGTCTTTTCTCTATAGCTCTCCTTGCACGATGTTTTTTTCCGGCGGTTTTAGCTGTGCAGGATTTTTTTTAAAGAAATTGTGGCTCTTCAAAGGCTTGCAAAACCTTAATGGCTAGGATCTTTCAAGGATCCCAAGGATTTGACAAGGATCTCACAAAGACCCTAACTAGCATATNCCCCCCCCCTCTATTTAAAAAAAATATTGGTCCGTCCCTAAGAGCCTGCAGTGTGTGACCTTGCCTTTCACAAAGGTTCATTCCCTTAATAATGCGTTTAATATAAACGTATTACCAAGGGATTCATTTCACTGCAGTGAAACACGGACACTACAACATTGTCAATTGAACACTGTCTTGGTTTATGAAATACCCACAACGAGTTTAACTGAGTCTATTTCTTCTCTTTTCAATGAAAGGCCAATAAAAGTATGAAATGTTTCCGTTATTTTCTCTCACACTTACGCTTTTCCAACCTTTTTGTTCAAGTGTGCACTTTCAAAAGTTCAACGTCTCTTTCCAAGCCACTTCATGTGAAGTTCATAAATCAACATAATTCAGAAAACAAACCAAACTTTCGTCAAGAGTCACTGTATCACTGCAGTCCTGAGTGGCATGAAATTAAAATACGTAATGGAATTAAGGACGGCCATATTTGTAGATCTCGTCATAATATGTTGCCTGAAAGTGCCTTCTTGCTGTGACTGACGGGAAACTATCAAGCCAACTAACGACTGTAGCGCTATGGTCACGAATCCATTTTATATTGGCGTCTATACTTTCAAGGCTTTGTTTTACAGCCAGTTTGCCAGATCCAACACGTTTACTCTCAAAAAATTTCTTCACCTAAAAAATCAAAATAAATCAACGTATGTCAGTCGACTGCAGTTAAGCCCACGGTTCCATCTTGCTGGTCAGCGCTGATGCAAGGGACCATAAAATAGTAGCTACTCATGGACTTAGAGAGTAGGGACGATGTACGCTCTTTATCATCGATATCGCTGGTAAATTCCAGAGCTGAGTATAATAACCAAGCATTCTGGACACTCAAATTATTCCGCTATAATAATCTCACAAGAGGTGATCACAGTATCATTAAGGTACGCTTGCCAAGCTTAGTCACATGTGCTATGCTGGCAAGCAAACATGGACGCTGGTTAATAAATGAAATTTCGTCTATTCAGAAAAACATCCCTTCCAAGTTGGGTAGCTTCGAAGCGAAATGACTTAGGAAAAGGAGTGAGAGCTTCGATCGCGATACAAATTTCTTCAAGAAATGGTTTTCGATTGCCCAATAGCAACCAAATTTTCCTAGCTAGTTAGGTAACTTTGTAAGTCAAAACTCAATACTAACTTGGGTTTTCATTTCCTCTGTGTTGAAATGAGCGGTGGTGGCCTTGATCAAGCGACTAAAATCAAACGAGCCCGTACCATATCTACAGGAAAAAAAACGCAATTGAAGTTTGTTAACACACCTTCCTCGCCACGCGCGCATTCCGCACCCGACCCCAAACTGAGAAAACACGCGCGCATTCCACACCTAACCCCATACCGAGGATCTTACAAGAGACACTTCTGACACAACACAAAATAAAGAATATTGATAACAGAATATGGATACCTGTGATACAGCTTTTCATAGTTATCTTGCACAAACTTCCACGCTAATAGGCGCCCCTCTGGATTATGAGCTACGGAATTAATGACAGCTACCGTGTCCTGAGAGCGAATCTTGGTTTTTTTCAGCGAATATGTAAGCAGCCTAACAGAATTAAAGAGGAATGAAAAAAAAAAGCGGTTAATGAATTTGCTGATCATGTTAAAAAAATAATAATGAATACATGTCCTAATTGACCACTCCTTCAGTGAACATTTCTCGGCCAAAGGAAACAAACACTGAAACAAATAATGTAAATGAGCATAACATGGCTAAAAATCTAGACTGGCAGGAGGCCGAAGAGTTGAAGACGGGATCACCGTGAAACAACCCCAGCTTATGGTCGGTCAGGCGCCCTAACCACTGGGCCACACTGCCCCCATCTTCCAGAATGACTGGAATATAGTTTGAATCAAGCTGCAAATTAAACTTAAACATCCCAACTTTGTGTCATGTTGTTAACTGTATTAAACCATTCTTATCGAAAAGTAGAACAAACGTTTCTTTTTACCTGCTTAAAATTTCTTTGTTGCGGCTGTTTGTGAGTGCGTACATTAATTTCCTTTTTTCCGACGGAACAGCCTCAGATTCGAATTTTCCGAAAACTTCGTCCCAAGTTGCTTCATCTGCATACTTAACCCCCGTGGAGTAAACTATGTTTCGTAAGTTGGGTGTGATCCTGGAATTAAAAAACATATATCTTCTAAGACGTTAAGAGATGATCAATTTGCGATGAAATGATGACATAATCACTTGATGAGGGTGTCATGTCTTTTCAGTTCTTTATTAGAAGGGCTAGCTCACAACACATCAGCTGTTAGTACTTGAAAGCAGACTGACAGTAAACTTAGTGATATTATTTTTTCGTTCGCACAGCAAATCAGTTTTCCAACAAAAAGTCTCTAACGCAATTAAGAACATGCTAGCAATCTGCACACCCAATACGAATTCTCCGAAGTTGAATGTTCTCTTTCTTCGTTTGATTCTCATTACACTCATTGACTGCTTTCTATTACTGAAGTGCAGAATGTTTGGTAATTGCTAGTGGGAAAAAACTTGCGATCAACTGGACAGAATACTGATTTAAACGGGCTGAAAAAAAGCTTGTTTCTACGGTGAACAAATAGGAGGCGAAAATACTCACGATGCTCCGTGACCAAGCCAGCCATCAAACAAATCCAAAGCTAAAGGTGTGTTTGTTCGCTCCTCCCGAGGAAGAACATCTTCATATTCGGTGGCCAAATGCAACACAGTTCCGCGAAGATATCTACAAGAGTAGCGCAAACAAAGTCATGTACAATGAATCCTCTCAACACGGAGAAAATTCTTGTTGTAATCTTTACACAAAACTTCTGCCATGGACATCTGCAACACACGTTTTTGAGTTTTGCCATGGAACGGGACTGGTTAACTTGTGACCATTAGCTTGTTTTGTCTTAACCAATGAGTCTTAGATGTGCAAGTCAAGAATGAAAAAAATGTAAAACAAGTAGCACTTCAGACAACACACTCTTTAGACCCAAAGCCTAAAGAGAAGAAGAAGTTGGCCAAAGAAATTTGCCAAAAACGTTGGCCAAAGAAGTAGGCCAAAAAAGGTGGCCAACAAAGATGGCCCTATCGTTTGCTGACGTAGCAGACTGCCATCATCAGTTGCTCCTGGCGGCACCTTTGAAAAAGGATCTTCAGTTCAATCCGATGCGTTCCTTATGAGAGAAGCTAAGAATGATCACTGCCCCAACATAGTGCTCTTGATGGTCTTGATGGTCTGATTATAAGTCAAAATCCTTGAACCTAATTACAAGTACGTGTTTACATGACGTAGCAGACTGCCATCATCAGTTGCTCCTGGCGGCACCTTTGAAAAAGGATCCTCAGTTCAATCCGATGCGTTCCTTATGAGAGAAGCTAAGTATGATCAATACCCCAACATAGTGCTCTTGATGGTCTTGATGGTCTGATGATAAGTCAAAATCCTTGAACCCAATTACAACTACGTGTTTACATGACAAAAAAACAATCACCTCTTCAAATGTGGGTCAGTAACGGCTTCTACCCAGCCCAACTCATTAGCTACGTCTTTGACAAGATGTAAGATGTATCTCTGAAAAGAAACGAATACAAAGAAACGAACAAATAACGCATGAAAAATACAAGGTGAAGAAGGGAATTAGAGAATAGTATTTGCAGAGTCGTTTTTTGCATCACTTGTAATTTGTTTCCAAGCTTTTGGATCATTTTAGGTCCGCTCACAATTTTTCCATCGACGTAAAATTCAATTTCATGTACGTAAAATTCCATTTTTCCATCTTCATAGAATTCAATGTTTCCATCTTCGTAAAATTCTATTTTTCTTTCTACGTTAAATTTATCCATCTACGTAGAATTCAATTTTTCCATCTTCTTCTCAAACCCCATAACAATGGAGGTTTGGATACCCGGTCTTAATTAGCATAGATTTTGACGATGTTATTTCTCCGTTTGATCCTTAGTTACCTTACTCCACTGCGCGTTGTCTGTTTAACTCTCTTCTCGGTGTTTGGATATCCCTATGAAAAGCTGTCTCTCGTGTTTGATATATTACGTAAATTTCAATTTATCCATCTACTTAAAATTCAATTTTTCCGTCTACGTAAAGTTTACTTTGAAATCATTATGGTGAATGCTTTGAATGACCATGGTGGATCAACTTTATCTTACCTTATATTTGGGATAATATTCTGTTGATCCATTCAGAGTGTCGTAAGTGGAAAACTGAGTAGCAAAATAAGCCATGTTGTTAAGCGCCGACATCCATGGAACGTATTCTCTTTCTTGTTTAAGATATGGCGTGAGACTCAGGGCCACTTCATCAGACAACATGCCGCTCCTAAAAAGACGTTACATCAAATATCACAGTGTAGTCAGATTAAATGCACTGTTCCTTTAGGTTTCCATAATTAACGGGAAACAATACGAAGCAAGCCTGCCAATGAATTGAGGTGAAGTTGCCTCGCAAGTCAAATTAAAAGAATGTGCTGATGTTGACAAACTGCCACTCACCGAGCAAGATTGAAAGCATCATCAAGCAAACCTGCACGATCTGCACCACTCAGTCTCTGAATACAATCAGAATTATTCATTGATCAGTTTGTATCACAACACTCTGGGAAAATTATCGGCAGATATATGGCAGATACTTCCTAAAGAGAATACTGTAACGCTAAACTGGAAATGCTATGTCACAAAAACCTCAAAGAACCCTAAAATTGCAGTAACTGTTCTACTTGTGTTAAAATATTCATTTTTTTAATCAAATTTTGCCCCATAACCTCAACAGCTTATCTAAGAGGTTTCAACACCGACCTAAGCACATTAAATAAACAGACCCGTGAGGGAAAAATATGAAATACATGTAAATATATGAATAAAAAGCCAATGGAATAAATAAATAAAAAGATAAATAGCTACTGTAAGTAACCTGATTACGATAAAACTGAAAAGCGTTTCGAATAGGTACTCTACAAGTTTTAAATAGTAATTTCCAATAGCACAGCTAAGGAGAATATTACGTACACTGGCTCATTCCAGTTTATCGAGTTTACCTGATGATGTGTGTTCAGCTGATGAATTAGTTTGTTCCAGTTTTCACTCTCATAGTTCACGCGGTAGAATCCACTTTGTCCAGCATTCATTTTGATCCATGAATTACCACTAATTGCATGAGGTAAACGAACTACCAAAGAGGAAAGTGTATTAGTATAAAAATTCAGTTATAGTGGGCAAGTATGTACTGATATGAAATTTCAAATTTGTGTTTGCTCGCAGCCTCAAATCTAAAGCTCTTCTTAATTCTATTACCTATTGGGCGAGCATTGTATGGAAGAGTCTCCCAAAGAACTTAAAATCAAATACCAGTTTCTCGGCATCCATGAAGAATCTTAAGAATTATTAGAACGACATCCACAAGATTTCATTCTATGCAACTTCTATAGCGGCAAATACATGAAAGAACATTGTTGATTTTTTTTTTAATTGATTAAAGTAAAAAACCTATTAAGTACATAATTATTACAAAAGATAAAATAACGGTCTACATTATTATTTTCTTGTGACTACATGACTACTGGAAGTTGTTTTTGGGAGTCACAGGTTATTCTGGGAAAGAATGAGTAAAAGGGCCCAAAATTTACTATGCAGTAATTTTATCACTTGCTTAAACTTTTATATCAATCTTTGGAAACTACAAGTACACGTAAAGATCAATTTTGGCTTATTTATAATACTCAATAATATTATTTTATTTTTTAATTACATCTAACTAATACTTCAAGCAATGTCAATCAAATAAGATAAAGATACAATCAGGCCTAATTTGCATAAGCTTTTAATTATAGTTTAGGGTTCCTTTTGCCACTTTTGTACCTGTAACTTAAATTACTGTTAGTTACTGTACGTGTTGTGTTTTATCATTTTGTGTGCAAATCCATCAGAAAATAATTAATAGAATTAAATAAAATAAGTCCAAGTTCTTACTCTGTTCAGATCGGTGTTTTATTAGTACAGCATGTCTCTGCTCTGAAACCTCAGTCACATACGTTAAGGGAACTACCCAAAGCAATCTGCAGAAATAGACAAACCACGTCAGCCAGTAAAATTTGGAACGAAATTTAAGTTGAGCCATATTAACTATTGTATTTGATTACCTACAATGTTTCAGGTTAATCTGTTGTTCCTACCATTTGCATTATAATAGTCATAGATTACGCCAGTTCACCTGGTGCAATGTTAAACAGGTGCAACAAATAGGACACTGTACAGCAGACTTACTCATCAACTGAAGGGGACTGCATGTCACCGTGAACAAGAAAGTGTTTCTGTGTTACATGAACTATCTTTGGGTCATTGCCATCTTTCTTAACTGTCATCACAGGGAAGCCCATTTGACTTGTCCATGTCGTCATCATTTCTGTGACATCAAGTCCACTCCCACCATGCTGTCAAAGCCAAAGTGCATTTTGTTAGACAAAAAATATTTGTAATACAGTTGAATTTACCTCAAATAGTTGCCTTAAGGCACTATGAGCTGGTATTGCAGAGTAGCAAGGGACACAATAAATCAACTTATCATTGTTCATTTAAATTCACCTGTCCACTTTGTATTTGTTCTGTAAGGCATCGCCAGAGATCATTTGTCTCTGCATTACTAAACTTGTACGTCTGAAGGTAATGTTGCAATCCCTGGAAAAAAACATCTCTTCCAAGAACATCCTCCAACATCCTGATAATGGCTGCACCCTATAGATGAAAGGTCGTCCACAAAATACACTGAGAACTCAACATGAATATCAACACAATATAGACACGTAAATTGTTCGAATTTAAAGGAGTCACATTCATGCAGCAAAAATGTACACTGAATGTACCTGTTTTTTTCATATTTCTCTCTTGCTAGCGATGAGAAACCAATTGAAAGTACAGCAAAAACTTTTTTCTTGGAATTTGCACCTTAAAAGCTACAGAGAGCTATCCACAAATATGAACACTGAAATGATATTTCAGTTATAAATATAAAACATCAGCTGGTAGGTCAAACCAAAGCCAGATACATGTAGTTTTCTTAATTTAGAGTTTGTACATTTTCATCTATCATTTGATTAGCTCTCCCTCACAACAAAATAACATTCTGCAAGTTATTCTGGGGATCACACTTTTCTGATTTGCACAGCTGCACGGTACATGTAAATCAGTAATTTCAACAACCATGTGACTGTGGATTTTCACTCACCTTGTCATAAGAAATTGAATCAAATAAAGAATTAATCTGTGCAGGGTCCTTCACTTCAGCCATGATGGGGTGAGAGTTAGTGAGTTGGTCCAAAGCAGTTGAAACTTGGAATTTGTCAAGAAAGAACTGATCCATCATTTTCCATTCAGGGTGGATATGGTCTACTCCAACATTTTCCATAAAGCTGGCAAATCCTTCATTTAGCCAAAGATCATTCCACCACTCCATTGTAACTAAGTTACCAAACCACTGTAAATTGAAAAACATTTATAATATCACCAAGAGAGTGATATACATGTATACTTTATCAATAAACAAGCACAATTGTAGCAATTACAACAAAAATACTTGACTCGACAAAAATTTACACTGTATGCACCACATATATCTTAACAAACAAATAATAAAGTCACATGTACTATTTATAGTAATTTAACTGTTCCAAATTTTATTAACACAAAAACTTATAATTTAATTTTTGCCGCTGCTGTTTTACATTTCAAAGGAAACATGACTTCTCCTAAAAGTATGACATTTCAGTGACATTGAGTGCACAATTATCTTTATTGCTGGCAAACATCTCTGACACCTTCACAAAAAGTACAATATAGAAACAGCATATCTAAATCAACAATTAACACCTTAAAAGAATGTCAAGAAAAGCTTAGCTACAAGGCCTGCCTTACAAAATGCTCCTCAGAAGAAAACAACCAAAATTCAATGCCTTAGCTGACTACAGCTATGCTGAACGTTTTGTCTAATTAGCTGACATCAGCATTTTCTACATTTAAATCTTTTTTCATTGATATACTTAAACTATGTAATTACACCACATAGTTACAAAATCATAAGAAAAACGCTGCTGTATTGCAAATGTATACAGCAGTTTCATACCAACTTGAAAGTTATAAGTAACAATATATTGTTTAGGCTTATAACTTATTCAAGGTTTTATTGATTAATAATTATTGATCTTCAAGAATAGTTTAACTCAGTGAGGAGGTTTTCTTTGCCATCACTGAGGACTACAGAGACTCGAAAAATATTACAAGATCTCAGGATTCTCTCAGCGGCTAAAATGTAGTTCTTGTTGTTCACAACCAATGTTCAGTATCTTGATTGTGTTAACAGTGGAAATTGACATGTTATTTTGTAACTTTGATAATGGCAACACAATGTCACCAAAACGTTATACCTTTTCTAATCATATTTCTTTCACAAACTGTTATGTTAAGCCAGGTACAAACAGCACATATTTTAAAGTAATGTACATGTTAAAAGGCATTACTCAAAAAAAGTCAAACAATTCAGCAAGTAAAAATGTGACCACAATTAGTAGTCAAGTTGCACAACATTTTTTAGAGAATGATATAACCTGGTGTGCCAACTCATGAGCCACAACCACTGCGACCCATTGTTTGTTGCTGTGTGATGACTTGCTGGGGTCATACAGGATTGAGGTCAAACGGAATGTAATTAGACCCCAGTTTTCCATTGCTCCAGTTGGAAAGTCGGGAACAGCAATGAAGTCTGCATACAATATCATCACAGTAAGGTCAAAAGTTTAGACTACAATCATTAAATTTATTAGTATCAGTTTTTATTATCAGTTTTTTTATTGTAATCTCACGTACATTTATCAGACAAATTTGATTTATTTATTAATAAGACATTTGATTTACTATAATTAAGATATTACATGTAAAAGAGATTCATTAAGGGACTATTCTGACATTAATTCACCATGTTCACACAAAGTGTACACACTAAATGTGGACAATGTTTCTACTTCAGTGTGATTATTTTAGAAATTTATACCTTCACTCACCTTTGACACAATATTAATACAGATGTATGTTAACTATATGGCAAGGTAGTCGTAAACCAACATTTCCAATTGGTTCTTTCTTGTCAAGATTTTGCCACACAGACTGTTTCCATGAAAACAGTCATAAACCTTGAATTTTTTTCCAAAGCTGACATTAATCCAAATAAAAGTGCCATATAATAAACTACTTACTAACCTAGCTTGATCAAGCCCTACTGGGGAATATCGGCTCTCTGTTGTTTCAGTACATATGGAACTCGTTGCACTCAGTCTGGGACAGACTTTAGGCCAATATTCCTCAATACAGCCCTTATGCTCAGTTAGTACTTAAGAGGTTGATTTTCAACATTAATGGCATAAGCCAGTGATATTTTAACATTGTTGCTTAAACTTAAGTTAATGGTATTATTTATTTACACAAGTTTGATAGTCACTAGGGCTGATCCCGACAGAAAACGTCATCTGCTAACAACATCTTTATTTCCTCGTTACATTATTACTAGGGCTTGATCACCATTAATTTTACTGAATTCCTGAATGTAACTGTTATTCAAGTTTATTTTCAGGTTTTCTACATGTACCTGTTTTTCAAGTGTTATTAAATAAAATAAAACTTTCTTGTAGTTTAGTGCTAGCTTTTAAAATTAATAATAAAAAACAATTTTAATTTAACACTTGATCAGCATTCTAACTGACTGGCAACTATAATTCTATCTTTTATAAGCCTGGGAAGACATAATAAGTTATCACTGCTATTGTATTCCCATCACAGTCGAACTTGCATAATTATGAAATCAGTGTCTTGCTTCTTTGTTTTAAAACAAATAAAAAATTAGTCGCAAATGCTCAGATCTAAAAAATATAGTTTAGTCATATTATTATTTAATTATTAGTTTTAATAGTGGAAACATAATTGTCGTGTCAGTGTCAAATAAATTTATATCAAAATTATCAGTTTTTAAAATGCATTCAACAACAAATTCAGAATAGTTAAATTATTATTGAAAGTTTATTATTAGTATTTTAGGTTAAAATTTACCGTGTATTCAAATTTATAAAAAGGAAATTTAATCTTGTGCAAAAAAGTTTACGTTTAAAGTAAAAGGATGTGAAGGAAAAGACAAAATAAATGTAATACAATTTCATAATAATGCTTTGAGCAACAAACAAATAGTCAACAGTGGTTATAAGCTTTATGTAGTTGGACAGCAGTTACTGCGGACATGACACAATGAACAAAAATCAATTCACACAGTATACACACAAAAAGAAAACATTCTGCTGGCATAAAACAAATGCCAAACAACTACTTAAAGTAAAAACAATTAATTAAATAAAAATCCAAAACAAAATAAAACAAATCTAACCCACAACATTGTAATAAAATTATGCACATGTACATGTATGGTACAGAAGATTGAAAAAGCCAGCACCAGAGGCAAGAAAGTAGAACAGATAATTTCCCAGAAAATAACTGACTTAACATTGTACAAGTCACATATCTGATAAACAAACCTGATGAGCAAGCTCGTGGGCAACAACCACAGCAACCCACTGCTTGTTAGAGTCAGAGGATTTGTTCTCGTCATACAACAAAGAGGTCAAACGATAGGTGATCAAACCCCAGTTTTCCATAGCTCCGGCAGCAAAGTCAGGGATGGCTATAAGATCTATTATACACGAAGCCATTAGATAACAGTAACATTATTGGCAAAAAAAACATGCCTTTCTCTTTCAGCCCCAACCCTTATTTGTCACTCCTTACTGACGTACATGTACATTGACCAATTATGAAAAATTAGAGAATTTATTGATAAATACACTCCAGATGGCTAATTTCTCAAATCTACAGCATTAAGCTGAATATGTGTAAAATGGCTGTTCTTTATCTCATGGGCCATTTAGTACTTATTGTGTAATGTCGATAGCAATAAATTAAATTAACCACAATATTCATTGCACAGTACATGACAAAAGTACTGATAGAGAAGGAATTTGCTGTTCTGTACATGACAGTCAGTTTTGTAAAAGAGAATAACCATAATTAGAGAAATGTTAAGTGTATAAAAGGGATATTTTAATGATAGTGGGTATACAGAAGTAAAATAAATGGTTATAATGTACTCAAATTGGCTCAGACAACTGAGAGTGGAAACCCTGTTTTAGTTAGGTTCACTCTACAAATGAGATTGGAATGTTTTTAGTTTATCAAAATATGTGCCAGTGATTGTTACTGTAACAGAGAAAATAAGGGGCTCTATGCTCTTCTAGGTTTTAAGAGTAACAATACTTTTGTACATTTGTGAACATACCTTGCTTTGGAAGTGGATAGTCAACATTGAAGATTGTTTCATAGTATGATAGAACCTTAACCCCAACCTCTAAAGCAAACTGTCCTTGCTCAATTTGTTCAGTAGGTGCCCAAACACTGACCTAAAAACAGCCATGAAAAAAGGAAGAAAAATACAATAATTAGAGAGAAAGCCACATCAGCCTTAGCCTCATGCAGGTCCTCTATCCTGCTCAAATTGGAATTTGTATGGAGATGTTGGTTTTTGTGGAGGGAGGAAAATCTGATAACCCAGAGAAAAACCCTCGAGCAGAGCAAGGAGAGAACCAACAACAAACTCAACCCACATAACGAACTGGGCCAGAATCAAACCCGAACCACATTGGTGGGATACATACATACATACATACACTTCATTTCAACTCAAATTATCAGAGTAGCTCTATTGAGCTAATATCTTCAAGAAAGAATAAAATAAAATAAAAATACATAAGTCAATTTATGTATTGATAAATGCTTGGGATGCAAGCGTTCTCGCCACTACGCCATCCCTGCTCCCATTACATTGATCAATCATAATCTTTGCAATGACTGCAGGTAAACAGGGCTATAAATTGCAACTCACTGGTCACCAATGCGACCAAAAATTGAGCACTGGCGACTAAGTTTGCAGAACTGGTCGCCAGCTGGCGACTCGCGTTTTGTCCGATAACTAAAGAAAACCACGACACAACTTTTGTTTTCAAATTTTTATATTAGGAAATCAATTGGATATGGTAGCTAGTATACAACTCACCTTTCCGTCCCCAGTAAAATAATGCCCGAATATTACAAGATAATAGAAAAAATTGAATGTATTTCGACACGTCGATACTGCATTCACGGCACGCCCCATTGTTTCAGCGGTTTCTTCCAAAACTGGGATCACAGACGCACTTCAACACCATGTGCGTTTTATTGACCGCGAAAATGGTGGCAGATACCAATCAGTTGAAGGAATTACGCAAGTTTTTACGTGCCGGAAATGAAGATTCAATCATGGCGTTGTTTGTTGCAGCAAAAGGCGTCGAGGAAAGCGAGTCGAAAATAAAGAACGGCATTTTGAAGAAGTAGCAAAGGGAAAATACGCAAGGTCCCATGTTTGTCTCACAATGAAAACCACGGACTTAAAACGTTTCATGCTTCGCTTCATTTAAAATGACTATGGAGACAACCATCACCTTCGGACCAGAGACATATCACCTGAGAACAACAGTAGCTTTATAATTAAGTGTTACTCGTGTTGTTTTTAATTGTTTTCGCTCTTCAATTGTGACTTTTCTTGCATGTGAAGTAACATATAAAATCGTGTTGTTGTGTAAGTTATATATAAAATAAGTTGGCAACCAAAATTTATGATCTGGCGGCCAAAATCTTTCTGTTAGTTGCCACGTGGCTCCCAAACGAAAAAGTTAATTTCGAGCCCTGGTAAAAGATTTCTGCAGTCCCTATAAAGTGTAGTTTGTACCCTACAATGGGGAGATTCCCCTCCATTTAAAGTTTCATCATCTGAGATCACTGTCAGAAGTGTTTTACTCAAAGAACACCAGAACCGTTCGATGATGACGGTTAGTTGACAAACTGGTATTAACAATTGCTAAATTAATAGCTTCTTGATGATGTATATGTAACAATGAAGAATGCACACAGAATGTGAGCTAAAAGTTCTCACCAAAACTGCAATGTTGCTATAGTGCAAGAGTACATGTAATATCTAATCATTACAAAAAAAAACATACATGTAGTTTCCAAAGACTAGAATCTTGTCCCTCAGGACAAGGGTGATGTCATCCAAGACAAGACACTTAAATTTAGGGTAAACTTGTATTTAATTCATCAGACCTGTACTGTGTTAAAAATTACCTTAACACCACGTGAAGTAACATCTGATATGTTTGTAAAGTCACAGACAACAAATGCCACAAGATAGGTGCTCATGTTAACACTTTNCATTTGATTAGCTCTCCCTCACAACAAAATAACATTCTGCAAGTTATTCTGGGGATCACACTTTTCTGATTTGCACAGCTGCACGGTACATGTAAATCAGTAATTTCAACAACCATGTGACTGTGGATTTTCACTCACCTTGTCATAAGAAATTGAATCAAATAAAGAATTAATCTGTGCAGGGTCCTTCACTTCAGCCATGATGGGGTGAGAGTTAGTGAGTTGGTCCAAAGCAGTTGAAACTTGGAATTTGTCAAGAAAGAACTGATCCATCATTTTCCATTCAGGGTGGATATGGTCTACTCCAACATTTTCCATAAAGCTGGCAAATCCTTCATTTAGCCAAAGATCATTCCACCACTCCATTGTAACTAAGTTACCAAACCACTGTAAATTGAAAAACATTTATAATATCACCAAGAGAGTGATATACATGTATACTTTATCAATAAACAAGCACAATTGTAGCAATTACAACAAAAATACTTGACTCGACAAAAATTTACACTGTATGCACCACATCTGTCTTAACAAACAAATAATAAAGTCACATGTACTATTTATAGTAATTTAACTGTTCCAAATTTTATTAACACAAAAACTTATAATTTAATTTTTGCCGCTGCTGTTTTACATTTCAAAGGAAACATGACTTCTCCTAAAAGTATGACATTTCAGTGACATTGAGTGCACAATTATCTTTATTGCTGGCAAACATCTCTGACACCTTCACAAAAAGTACAATATAGAAACAGCATATCTAAATCAACAATTAACACCTTAAAAGAATGTCAAGAAAAGCTTAGCTACAAGGCCTGCCTTACAAAATGCTCCTCAGAAGAAAACAACCAAAATTCAATGCCTTAGCTGACTACAGCTATGCTGAACGTTTTGTCTAATTAGCTGACATCAGCATTTTCTACATTTAAATCTTTTTTCATTGATATACTTAAACTATGTAATTACACCACATAGTTACAAAATCATAAGAAAAACGCTGCTGTATTGCAAATGTATACAGCAGTTTCATACCAACTTGAAAGTTATAAGTAACAATATATTGTTTAGGCTTATAACTTATTCAAGGTTTTATTGATTAATAATTATTGGTCTTCAAGAATAGTTTAACTCAGTGAGGAGGTTTTCTTTGCCATCACTGAGGACTACAGAGACTCGAAAAATATTACAAGATCTCAGGATTCTCTCAGCGGCTAAAATGTAGTTCTTGTTGTTCACAACCAATGTTCAGTATCTTGATTGTGTTAACAGTGGAAATTGACATGTTATTTTGTAACTTTGATAATGGCAACACAATGTCACCAAAACGTTATACCTTTTCTAATCATATTTCTTTCACAAACTGTTATGTTAAGCCAGGTACAAACAGCACATATTTTAAAGTAATGTACATGTTAAAAGGCATTACTCAAAAAAAGTCAAACAATTCAGCAAGTAAAAATGTGACCACAATTAGTAGTCAAGTTGCACAACATTTTTTAGAGAATGATATAACCTGGTGTGCCAACTCATGAGCCACAACCACTGCGACCCATTGTTTGTTGCTGTGTGATGACTTGCTGGGGTCATACAGGATTGAGGTCAAACGGAATGTAATTAGACCCCAGTTTTCCATTGCTCCAGTTGGAAAGTCGGGAACAGCAATGAAGTCTGCATACAATATCATCACAGTAAGGTCAAAAGTTTAGACTACAATCATTAAATTTATTAGTATCAGTTTTTATTATCAGTTTTTTTATTGTAATCTCACGTACATTTATCAGACAAATTTGATTTATTTATTAATAAGACATTTGATTTACTATAATTAAGATATTACATGTAAAAGAGATTCATTAAGGGACTATTCTGACATTAATTCACCATGTTCACACAAAGTGTACACACTAAATGTGGACAATGTTTCTACTTCAGTGTGATTATTTTAGAAATTTATACCTTCACTCACCTTTGACACAATATTAATACAGATGTATGTTAACTATATGGCAAGGTAGTCGTAAACCAACATTTCCAATTGGTTCTTTCTTGTCAAGATTTTGCCACACAGACTGTTTCCATGAAAACAGTCATAAACCTTGAATTTTTTTCCAAAGCTGACATTAATCCAAATAAAAGTGCCATATAATAAACTACTTACTAACCTAGCTTGATCAAGCCCTACTGGGGAATATCGGCTCTCTGTTGTTTCAGTACATATGGAACTCGTTGCACTCAGTCTGGGACAGACTTTAGGCCAATATTCCTCAATACAGCCCTTATGCTCAGTTAGTACTTAAGAGGTTGATTTTCAACATTAATGGCATAAGCCAGTGATATTTTAACATTGTTGCTTAAACTTAAGTTAATGGTATTATTTATTTACACAAGTTTGATAGTCACTAGGGCTGATCCCGACAGAAAACGTCATCTGCTAACAACATCTTTATTTCCTCGTTACATTATTACTAGGGCTTGATCACCATTAATTTTACTGAATTCCTGAATGTAACTGTTATTCAAGTTTATTTTCAGGTTTTCTACATGTACCTGTTTTTCAAGTGTTATTAAATAAAATAAAACTTTCTTGTAGTTTAGTGCTAGCTTTTAAAATTAATAATAAAAAACAATTTTAATTTAACACTTGATCAGCATTCTAACTGACTGGCAACTATAATTCTATCTTTTATAAGCCTGGGAAGACATAATAAGTTATCACTGCTATTGTATTCCCATCACAGTCGAACTTGCATAATTATGAAATCAGTGTCTTGCTTCTTTGTTTTAAAACAAATAAAAAATTAGTCGCAAATGCTCAGATCTAAAAAATATAGTTTAGTCATATTATTATTTAATTATTAGTTTTAATAGTGGAAACATAATTGTCGTGTCAGTGTCAAATAAATTTATATCAAAATTATCAGTTTTTAAAATGCATTCAACAACAAATTCAGAATAGTTAAATTATTATTGAAAGTTTATTATTAGTATTTTAGGTTAAAATTTACCGTGTATTCAAATTTATAAAAATGAAATTTAATCTTGTGCAAAAAAGTTTACGTTTAAAGTAAAAGGATGTGTAGGAAAAGACAAAATAAATGTAATATAATTTCATAATAATGCTTTGAGCAACAAACAAATAGTCAACAGTGGTTATAAGCTTTATGTAGTTGGACAGCAGTTACTGCGGACATGACACAATGAACAAAAATCAATTCACACAGTATACACACAAAAAGAAAACATTCTGCTGGCATAAAACAAATGCCAAACAACTACTTAAAGTAAAAACAATTAATTAAATAAAAATCCAAAACAAAATAAAACAAATCTAACCCACAACATTGTAATAAAATTATGCACATGTACATGTATGGTACAGAAGATTGAAAAAGCCAGCACCAGAGGCAAGAAAGTAGAACAGATAATTTCCCAGAAAATAACTGACTTAACATTGTACAAGTCACATATCTGATAAACAAACCTGATGAGCAAGCTCGTGGGCAACAACCACAGCAACCCACTGCTTGTTAGAGTCAGAGGATTTGTTCTCGTCATACAACAAAGAGGTCAAACGATAGGTGATCAAACCCCAGTTTTCCATAGCTCCGGCAGCAAAGTCAGGGATGGCTATAAGATCTATTATACACGAAGCCATTAGATAACAGTAACATTATTGGCAAAAAAAACATGCCTTTCTCTTTCAGCCCCAACCCTTATTTGTCACTCCTTACTGACGTACATGTACATTGACCAATTATGAAAAATTAGAGAATTTATTGATAAATACACTCCAGATGGCTAATTTCTCAAATCTACAGCATTAAGCTGAATATGTGTAAAATGGCTGTTCTTTATCTCATGGGCCATTTAGTACTTATTGTGTAATGTCGATAGCAATAAATTAAATTAACCACAATATTCATTGCACAGTACATGACAAAAGTACTGATAGAGAAGGAATTTGCTTTTCTTTACATGACAGTCAGTTTTGTAAAAGAGAATAACCATAATTAGAGAAATGTTAAGTGTATAAAAGGGATATTTTAATGATAGTGGGTATACAGAAGTAAAATAAATGGTTATAATGTACTCAAATTGGCTCAGACAACTGAGAGTGGAAACCCTGTTTTAGTTAGGTTCACTCTACAAATGAGATTGGAATGTTTTTAGTTTATCAAAATATGTGCCAGTGATTGTTACTGTAACAGAGAAAATAAGGGGCTCTATGCTCTTCTAGGTTTTAAGAGTAACAATACTTTTGTACATTTGTGAACATACCTTGCTTTGGAAGTGGATAGTCAACATTGAAGATTGTTTCATAGTATGATAGAACCTTAACCCCAACCTCTAAAGCAAACTGTCCTTGCTCAATTTGTTCAGTAGGTGCCCAAACACTGACCTAAAAACAGCCATGAAAAAAGGAAGAAAAATACAATAATTAGAGAGAAAGCCACATCAGCCTTAGCCTCATGCAGGTCCTCTATCCTGCTCAAATTGGAATTTGTATGGAGATGTTGGTTTTTGTGGAGGGAGGAAAATCTGATAACCCAGAGAAAAACCCTCGAGCAGAGCAAGGAGAGAACCAACAACAAACTCAACCCACATAACGAACTGGGCCAGAATCAAACCCGAACCACATTGGTGGGATACATACATACATACATACACTTCATTTCAACTCAAATTATCAGAGTAGCTCTATTGAGCTAATATCTTCAAGAAAGAATAAAATAAAATAAAAATACATAAGTCAATTTATGTATTGATAAATGCTTGGGATGCAAGCGTTCTCGCCACTACGCCATCCCTGCTCCCATTACATTGATCAATCATAATCTTTGCAATGACTGCAGGTAAACAGGGCTATAAATTGCAACTCACTGGTCACCAATGCGACCAAAAATTGAGCACTGGCGACTAAGTTTGCAGAACTGGTCGCCAGCTGGCGACTCGCGTTTTGTCCGATAACTAAAGAAAACCACGACACAACTTTTGTTTTCAAATTTTTATATTAGGAAATCAATTGGATATGGTAGCTAGTATACAACTCACCTTTCCGTCCCCAGTAAAATAATGCCCGAATATTACAAGATAATAGAAAAAATTGAATGTATTTCGACACGTCGATACTGCATTCACGGCACGCCCCATTGTTTCAGCGGTTTCTTCCAAAACTGGGATCACAGACGCACTTCAACACCATGTGCGTTTTATTGACCGCGAAAATGGTGGCAGATACCAATCAGTTGAAGGAATTACGCAAGTTTTTACGTGCCGGAAATGAAGATTCAATCATGGCGTTGTTTGTTGCAGCAAAAGGCGTCGAGGAAAGCGAGTCGAAAATAAAGAACGGCATTTTGAAGAAGTAGCAAAGGGAAAATACGCAAGGTCCCATGTTTGTCTCACAATGAAAACCACGGACTTAAAACGTTTCATGCTTCGCTTCATTTAAAATGACTATGGAGACAACCATCACCTTCGGACCAGAGACATATCACCTGAGAACAACAGTAGCTTTATAATTAAGTGTTACTCGTGTTGTTTTTAATTGTTTTCGCTCTTCAATTGTGACTTTTCTTGCATGTGAAGTAACATATAAAATCGTGTTGTTGTGTAAGTTATATATAAAATAAGTTGGCAACCAAAATTTATGATCTGGCGGCCAAAATCTTTCTGTTAGTTGCCACGTGGCTCCCAAACGAAAAAGTTAATTTCGAGCCCTGGTAAAAGATTTCTGCAGTCCCTATAAAGTGTAGTTTGTACCCTACAATGGGGAGATTCCCCTCCATTTAAAGTTTCATCATCTGAGATCACTGTCAGAAGTGTTTTACTCAAAGAACACCAGAACCGTTCGATGATGACGGTTAGTTGACAAACTGGTATTAACAATTGCTAAATTAATAGCTTCTTGATGATGTATATGTAACAATGAAGAATGCACACAGAATGTGAGCTAAAAGTTCTCACCAAAACTGCAATGTTGCTATAGTGCAAGAGTACATGTAATATCTAATCATTACAAAAAAAAACATACATGTAGTTTCCAAAGACTAGAATCTTGTCCCTCAGGACAAGGGTGATGTCATCCAAGACAAGACACTTAAATTTAGGGTAAACTTGTATTTAATTCATCAGACCTGTACTGTGTTAAAAATTACCTTAACACCACGTGAAGTAACATCTGATATGTTTGTAAAGTCACAGACAACAAATGCCACAAGATAGGTGCTCATGTTAACACTTTTTTGAAAGTGGTCGGTGCAAAGCTCAGAAGCATCACCACACTAGGATAAAAGAAATCAACCAAAACATCAACAATCATTAATAGCACATAGCAATGTGGTTCCAGTGTACTGGACATTGATAATGTAGAGCATAGTTTTATAGAATGACCTACATGTAACTTTATCGTGGCATTTTTAGATTTTGATGTTGGCCAGGTGATGAAAATTGTTTTTTATATTACTTGACCTCATCAAAATCTAAAATACAGTGACAAAGGTCCATTTACATAAATTTATGTACATTTATTTTAGTATGTCTTGTGCTGTGTGTGTTGCACACCATTTGAGGAGATAATGGAGAACAATATACTATACGTGGGGATATATGACCAACAGATGACCAACACATTACTAACAGCCAACCATACATTGACTGTTAGTAATAAGCCTAAGTTTCTTTTGGAGATCTCCTTGCTGCTTTTTGAGTATTGTCAATATCTTTTGTTATTATTTACATGGCAAATAAATGATGATGATGATGATGATGATAAGGTAACGATCGATAAGTCAGCCAAGTGTTGACCTACATGCTGGACACGTGATCACGCATAGTATCGATCAACACTTTATGGTGTGTCTGTGAAAAAATAAGATTCTGTTGACCAACTATTGACCAACCATCAACCCGGTGACAACCTACATGTATGTGTCGACAAAGTGTTCACTGACATATAGCCTGACTGATGATCGCGTCTTGATTGCTGGTATTGGAAGACCCGCGACCACGGGTAGCTTTCATACACATAATCCCATTTCACCAGTATTGTACAGTGGAGTGCATGGGAGACTAAACGATAAATGGCAACAACTCTTACCCCTTCAGTGTGCTGAACTGGCATGTTTGCCAATGCCACATGCCGTTTCTCTCGTGTTATGACAATAGAGAACTTTGCTTTCATGTTAGGTTCATCAAAACAAGGAAAGGCATTTCTGGCATCAGTTGGTTCAAAATGAGTGGTAGCAAGATATCTAATAAAGCAAACCACACAACAAGGAAATTAGTGTCCAATTAATTAAGCAATTAATCGTAACTACATGTATAACAGAATTCTCGATCGTTATTGGCTCCCTGTGCTTATTTGTCACGTAAGCGGCACGCGATCACGTGGGTGTTCAATTGCAGGTATCCAGTTTGAATTGGATACCTGTAATTGGATACCCACGTCATTCGCATGTCAATTATGTGCTTTAATGGCTTCCTTCGAACTGTTTCCTACAGTTTTCCAAATTTATGAAAAGCGCTACAGACATTTTTGCTCAAAAGAAGTTCTCAAAAGACATTTTCAATTCTGAAATTTGTTATAGGTACGATTACTTAGTAATTGGACCTTGTGTCATACAATTCAGGAAGTTATCGTGCTCATACATGTAATTTCAAATCGGTCTCGCACTTCATGTTCATCTGATTTTGAAATTACTCACGTGATTACTCCCTGAATTGTTCTCCACTCAGTCCAATTACTTAGCTCTTATTAACCGAGCAGGAGGTCTGTATGGGAGAATCTCGACCGAGGTCGTGAGAACAGACCGAACGCAGTGAGGTCTGTACACACAACTGAGGTCAAGATTCTCCCATACAGACCGACTTAGCTCAGTTAATAAGAT